CCGACTCGCTTGAAGGCAGCGCAGAGAAATATGTGGACAGCTCCTGTCCCAGTCTTCTATGGGATAGAGCGTTTCCCCTTTGCACGCGTGTGGTTTCTCTGGATGCTCAGGGTTCCTTCCACATGTGTAAGCACTCATCGATTGGCTGCTAAGACCTTAATACATCGCGGATCGCAGAGCTTGGGCAATTGTTGGGGCTGGCTAACCGCGTGGCTGCTTCCCTGCTTGTCCGAGGTTAATTGGACCGGAGGTGTTCCGTCTACGAGCGAGCGAATATTTGTGTGGGCATTACACATGTTGAAATTATTACTATTATTTGGTTACAGCCACTGGAGATTGGACCATGTAAACTCTTTTTAAAACATAAAAAACAATTTAACACGGAGGCTTGAATGATTACCAATCTATATAATTACGATACCCTCCCCCTCCTTGCCTCGAATCGCTGCACCAGATTGAATTGAATTAAATGATGACGTCACCCTGCTGCTGCTCTATTTAAGACCGGGAGCAACAGGAGAGTTTCACCATTATTGCCCGATGAAGCTGATTGTAATTATCAGCGAAACGTCGTACTACTCAAATTTTTAAATGCTGTTGATTCTCTCTTCACACTTTTTTACTGTTTGGCCGTGTCGAGTGGTGGAGGGTTACGACATTTATAAATAACGCGATTTGACCCAAAACCCTATATTATGAATAAAAAAACACTTTTCAAAGACTGGGGGGGGGGGGGGGGGGGAGGATAAAATGCACAACAGGAGAATACATACCGCTGTCCGGATATCAGACCATGACACACCGTGCGTCCCATCACGATCGTGGCAGTGTTTATTTCACAAACTGCTGTGTACAATCGTAAGTGTTGCATGGAACACGGCCCCCTCCCAGCGCGTCCCACCGAACGACCACCTTGACAAGATGTACACTTCCACAACAACAAACAAACAAAAAAAGACTCCCATCCCGAAAAACCTCCCCATACCACCACGGATATTTTGGTCATTTTTCTCCAAAAACGCACTCGCGAGATTCATCCGTTTGGAGGCGCGACCGATGAGACTCGTGTGTGTGCGTGGAACGATGGGGAGATGTGCAAAGGGATCAGAGTTTTTTTTCTTTCACGAGGTCACTCCTCGTTTCTTTCCTTAGGGAGGTGGCCAATTTGCGTCCATTGATGCCAGCAACAAACTCCGTAACGTTCTCCCTGGCAGATCGCAAACAACAACAACAACAAACCCCCAGGGCTTCACGGTGTCCCCACAGTCGACCCCCATGACCCACCCTCCCCGCTCCTCCCCCCCCCCCCCCTCTCAGCTGGACACAGGCGGTTAAAGGGCCTCTGGCTGGAATCCGCCCGAATATTAACAATTTTAAAACGAACAAAAACTCCAGACACTTCCTCGGGTATGTTAACATTCAACATCGACATTATACGAATCGAGTTTACGATGGCAAGAGCTCTACAAAGCAGCAGCATCATGCAACCGTCCGTGGCCAGGCGGCCAGATGATTGGTGGGGGGGGCCTCAATGCCAAATTAATATTTGCCGAGCCGCGAAAATTCGTTGTGCTCGTTCATCTCCCGGGTCATTGTTGTTTAATGACCAACATTCGAATGCCTCCCGGCTTGACGACATTGCCCAGCAGCCTTTATAGTCGTGGCGAAGCAAAATCCAGCGCAGGCCGAGCCGTGCGAGACACCAAAACTGTGGCCCCAACACAAAGGCAAAGATGCCCCCCCCCGTATTATAGCCTGCAGCAGACTGTTGGGGCAAGTGCTGTTTGCGAGCACCTACGAAGGCCGGCACGGCACACGAGGAGGGCGTGGGTGGTCTCCCCAGTGGGCGACATCTCCAAACCCCGCATCGGGTACTCATTTGAGACCGAGCCGACCTAGGGGAGGCCCATGACCGGTTCAGATTTTCGAACTCGGGTCGCCGGGTTCGTAGCGCAGCGCGCTCACCACGACCGCTGCCCAGCCTCGGTGTGGTGAAGCCAAAGCTGGCCATGGGTGAGCCATGCGAGAGACACCAAAAACCGAGACGAACACAAACACGCTGTATAATTGTTTTTAAACGCCATTTACAATGTATTGCTGCACACACACACATTGTTTATCAGAAGACACGTGGCCATGCCAGTTTGTGCAACCTGTTCCTTGAAAGGGGGTCCCCTCCCCCCCCTTACTTAACTTGAAGTACAATTGGATAGACGCCCGCTGAACTGGCCACGACCACCCCATCTCGCCAGCAGCCGCGGCGAGGAGATTGGGGATTGTGACCGCGCCCGATTAATGTCTTATTATTGTCAGATTGAGTTCACATCATGCACTATAAAGCAGGGGGGGTTAAACATCCTCCCCCCCCCCGCACCACACACACGATTTCCTTCATTACGTGGGTTCCGCTAAGTAGCATGTAAAGTTTCAGAACATTTCTTTAGCTGTGGTTTTTTGGTAAGTATTTAAAAATTATTATTTTCGATTTAATAAGCCTACTTTTTTTTGCAATCTGTCCCACCTGATGACGTAGACTTGTGTTGCCTCCGAAACGTCGTGATTTTTATTATTTTATTTTTTATTAATTTTAATTTAATTTTTTTCCTATGTGTCTTTACCGAAAAAACTAAAGAGTATAGAATCCTTGCAGTCACGAAAGCTTCAAATCTAGAATCTGTATAGAGGTGTGTGTCGTCGTCCCCCCCCCACTGGCGTACATACACCGAGCAGACGTCCTTAAGAAATCCACAAGATCAGCTCCTCTCCTTTATTGGGCCGCGGGTGCTGGCACACAAAGCGACTGGGGGGGGATCGACGGCACGTGGACTTGACAAGGTCGCCAAAGTTCACCCCCAACTCCCCCCCCAACCACCCCCCACCCTCACCATTCGCAAGGACAACGCGATGAGGCAGCAGTCAATTCGGGCAGCGGGGGTTTCTTAGCACGCACAATTTATTGTCGACACGGGGAATACCGCCCCCCCCCCCCCCGTGTTTGGTCAACACTGCGGCGCCCTATGCGGGGGGAGGAGCGGGGGGGCTTGCTCGGCTCCCCAATTTCGATCCGGGTTGCAAGCCGCCGACGCGTTGCGATCGAGCGCACACCCGATGATTGGTGAACGCGAACCGCTTGCGCGCACGTGGGAGCGAGGACTGGCCGATGCATGAGAGCGCAGCTCCGAACGCAGACGAGAGAACAGCCACTACCAATGTGCGTTGGCGCTCGGAAGCTTTGTATTTCATGACGTTCGAACGCCTTAAAAAAAGATGATGATGATGACGAAGAGACGGCCTGTGGCGATTTGATGCCTCGAGGTCGACAGCTCATGGGGCAGTTCCAGGTGAGTGGCCCCAGCTGGGATTAGCTCATGGGAGGAGGATGATGATGATGGCGATTTCCACCGATCTTCTTTTCTCCTAAAGGAGCTAAGGTGAAGGCGATTAATCCACGAGGCTTTGCTCGAGTGTCGGGTGGTCCAGGCTTTTCACTCAAGCCCAGCGCGCCACCACGGCTCACCTTTAGCCATGGTCACACATCTCCCAAACTACAAAATAGTTAACAATGCAATCAGACCGTGCAGCGAGCGCCGATTCAAACGAGGGGGGCTCTCTCCCTCTCCAAGACACGCGGGGGAGTGGGAAGCGTTTGGGCAATCATCAGGAGGCGTGCGGCGTGTAAATGGCGACTTGTGATTGAGAAAGATGGAAACAACCACAATGCAGGAGAGGCGTAACGTGGTTGAGTTTGCGTGGAACGACTTCAGCGTAGCAAACGTGGTGTCGTCAGTGCAGCTTCAGGGCTCATACAAGGAGTACCCACTCTGTGGAGAGTCGAACGCGAGTTGTCCTTGGTGTCAAGGCTGACCAACCCCCACCCGCCGCTCCCGGCATGGGAACGTGGAATTACCACGACCACGACGAGCGCACATCGCATTGCTCGTCCGAGCAGATTCTTGGTGGCAATGGCGGAGCCAATGGGAGGGTGGGGGGTGGGGTGGCACGTGCCCCCCCCCCCCAATGATCCGATCGAAATCCCTAATTTTGATCGGATCATTGGGGTTTATTAGTAATACATCGGCATTCTGTGACCCCCACTGCCACTGTGCAGCATATTATTACATGCCAGGGACTCTATAAGATGATAGGACAATAGTCTGAGTCCATAATTGGCAATAAGTAACGGCAAAACGGTTATAAGTGACTCACAGAATTGTGCGCAGTTGCGTCTACAGTCCACGACTTCCCTGAAGGCATCAACACCTTCAGCGAGCGCGATGCCGATCACACGACGCGGTTCGAAATCGACCCTCGATCGACGGCTGCGCCATCGCCGCACACGCGTCGAATAAAAAGCAAGGGACAAGTCCTTACTCCTGATTTAAAGCTTTCGTGACTGCAGGGATTCATATTCTTGGTTCTTTCGGTAAAGTCACGTAGAAGGGAAATAATAAAATCATAAAACAATAAAAATTCTCACGTTTCGACTGAAACACAATAAATCATCATCAGGTGTGAAAGTCACAGAAAGAAAATTTGAAAATTAAAAAAATTATCATTCTGTGGATTTCACACCTGATGATGATTGCTTGTGTTGCAGTCGAAACGTCGTGAGAATGTTTATTGTTTAATATTATTTTATTATTTCCCTTCTACGTGATATGAGTAGTACTAATCACATACCTGCATTTCCCATAAATATGCTAAATGCCTCTTGATATGCATATTCTTTTGTCAAGGCGCCCTTTTCCCCCCCTTCCAACCCAGCTTATATATATGCTCCAAGCACGTGTGCTGTTTCATTCAGACGCTGTCGCCTCGACAGACCTGGTTTTCACCTGAGGACGGCTGCTTGCGTTGTGGCCGAAACGTCGTGAGAATTATTTTATTATGTTTTATTTTTATTATTTTATTACTTCCCTTCTACGTGACTTCACCGAAAGAACCAAGAAGAAGAATATAACTCCTTACTCACTAACAACTCCTCTATCAATTCTCATTGCTGGAGGGGTTGCCCCCCCCCCCCCCCTACATTTCTCGGTGGGATTTCTTCGGAGGATACTAGCGCTGACTGTTGTAATAATGGGTATGCACGACTAAAAACACCTCGAATACGCATTCGATGTTTGGTGCCACTGCGGTCTTAATGGAGTGCTCATAGGGCCTTGTGGTGGTCGTGGACACGCATGCCGTTCATTTATTGCTTACTTTGCGCCTCCCTGTGGGCGATAAGGTTTCAAATCCACGTGGGGCAGACCGCATGGCCCCCCAGCATCAGATGAGACGTCGAGCAAATAAAAACGCATTTACAAAAAAATCGCACACAAAAACATCAGTCACACTATTTTTCAGACTGCTCTGGGCGGGATAATGAACAGGGGTAGTCAAGCCGCACAATTATTTCGGGTTTTTTTTGTGTACACAACCTGTAAGTATCATGGGACCTTTTTGCCAGTATCAAAGTAAGAAAAATAATGATACGTTTTACCCTTGCTGGCAACAAAACAGATGCCAAGATGTTCGAACACCACACAGAAACCTTTAATCAAGAAATCAAGTCTGCATCCACCACACACGCATGCAAACAAACATTGCTCTGACAATATTCGCAGTCTGTGGCCTCCACCAGAGACAACAACAGCCTTATTCATGGCCTAGTGTCTCAACTACCAGCGTCGGACCAGAGAACGTCAAACGGCGAACAGTACAAGGACAATGCACCCATCAGAGAGCATTTACAGCTTTGCGGGAGTGAGCAGCTTGTGTCGCAGCAGTTGCAAGTGTTCTCCGACACAAGAAACCTACGATGCCACCATCACCCCCCACGCCCCGGTCCTCTTGGGGATGGGTCGACCGCTTCAATGCTGTTCCAGGGCCTCACACCGCTTTGCCGTTAAGGCCCTCGTTCCACGCACACAAAATACACCACCACCACCGCCGCCAAAACCCCAACTCTCATTGCAAAATCAGACAAAACATGCTTACGGTTTTTTTTTGCTTTTGAGCTATGGAGATACGTGCACAACGCCGCGTCTCTCTCTCCCTCTACCAAGCCGTCGAACGCACACAAAGGTGTCCCTCGCCACAGTCGAAATTAAAGTCTCACCCCCCCCCCCCCTTCCCGGATGGGTAGAACAGTTTCTCTATTGGCTGCAGCAGTGACGACAAACCGGTGCTCTCAATTAGCCGTGTCGAGCAGAATCCATCCTGTGTGGATATGTTCACTGGAAGGGGGGACCCCCCCCCCGCCCCGTGATTGACCTCCACACCGCCACCCACGCCCCGTTCCAAAGCGGATTCCTTGCGCCGTTTTGCCAACATCACACCCAAATATCAGCCCCCTTAAACAAACAAAAAATATTCACCAAATTTTTCTCATGGGGGAGCAAAAAAAACAACAACACCCCATTACATTAGTAGCCACAGCCAAGTCCCACAAACCATCAACCCCATAAATACAGACGCGTTAACATTCAGATGTCCGAAGAAATAGCCCGATAACCCGTTAGCAAGTGTGCCCTCGTTCAGAACTAGCCCTCGAGGTTCCGGCGTGCTGCACGTGCACACCGTGGGCACGTTCACGCGCGCAAATGTGCAAGTGTGCAAGTCGCAGTGCCAGGCAGCCAACGAACAGATTTGTGAACGTCGGCAGAGACTTGAGGGGGGTGGGGTGGGGGGAGAAGAGACCCTGAACAAAACACATGGACAGACATTTGCGAAATCGCGACGCGTCGCAGCGTTGACACCGCACAGAAGATTATAGACGTGGGGATAGAACACGTGGCCTCGAACTGGGGGGAGAAGGGAGGGAGGACGAAATATCCCCAACAGCAGCCGCGGCTCGTTCCGTTTTCCTTCGACCTGTTTCAACGTGGCACCCCCCCCCCCCCCCCGAAAGCCCCGTTCACATTGATTCTTCAACGGGAGTGTTTCTCAAGAGTTGGGTTGCTTGGCCCACGGTCCACTCAGCCCATGCATACATTCCCCACGGACCATCCCAGCCACCGGACCCCCCCCACCCAACCATCACCCCTGGTGACAAAACACATTCGCTTATCTAAATACTAGTAATACAAAAGCGATTTATATTACCGGAAAAAAAACTATAGCGGGTTTTTTTTTTTAGGGGTGGCCATTTATATCTTAGGGTAGTTCAAAAGCGGGGTAAGTTTATCCCAAGTTCCATTTTTTTTATTAAATAAGTAAAATATTAATGTCCAAAATAAAATAAAAGGTATTGAACGTTGTCATTATTGACCGGCTCGAGCCACCGCGGGCCCACCTGGAGGCCCCACCCTGGAGGGACGTGGCAGATACCTCGCCGGTGGTGCGGGGGTGATCACCACTTTGAGAACCACTGGTCCAAAAGTTCACGATTCACGCGCCGAATCGTGGGCGTGCGCAAGAGAGCAAATGTTCCGATTTAAGTGTGACGTAAAAAAAAACGATACGCTGCGACGCTTGCAGTTGTGCTCGCGCGACGACGAACACTGTGAAGATAAAACAATTTGCAAACTCATCGGTAAAAATACAACAGGACACAAAATATATATAACCGATTGTGAAATGGCAGCTTGGGCATTTGATCGTGAAAACTCGTACAAATTTCCGGGGGGGGGAGGCGGTGGGAAACATTACTGCTCTTGTAGCCATGGTGGCGATCGTTATGGGGTGGGAAAAGGGGGGCATGCCCCCCTATTATGTACACGTGCATTTCAAACTGGCAACGTGAATGCAGGCAAAGTGGACCTCAAGCCAGCGGCGTCTGTCACTTGCGCGGTGAAGGCAAGCCCAAGCAGAGTACGCGTGTAGCCGTGACCCACACCACTTTATTCATTATTAGCACGGCTCAGCCACACCATGTGAGACAAACATTACACACCTGGGGGGGGGGGGGTAGGGGGGGTTAGTGGCCAGCCCACAACTTGACACGCACGGACGGATGAACCCCCCCCCCGCTCCACACTCCTCCGCTGTACCCAACGGCTCTTCACGACACTCGCCGCACCCCACAAGGCTGCTGGGCTAACTCATAACGTAATACTCTTTCCGGAGATGTCAATTGTGATGCGCTGGCACTCTGAAGGCCCCCGAGATTCAGGTGCTCCTGAACGTTCCTTTTGAAATAAGATTTTTGTTTTTGACAGACCCTGGAACAAATATGACCCATGGGGGCCTTCTGTTTATGACTTATACGTGCCTGCGAACAGGAGAATGACTTTGCGTGTGCAATGTACATACACGGCAGGATTATACGAGACAATGTACGCTGTACTGTTATCTAATATACATGAGTGAATGGTAAACAGTTGCGCGGGTCTGATTATCAGTACACAAACGTAAAATGTAGAATTTGGAAGTCAACGGATTTGGGTAATCGTTTGCGGGTGTATAACCCCTTAACGAGTTAGGCAATTTTACAGCAAAGGTGTCCACACGTTCAACCGATTGTCTTAATCCTAAAGGTCACACGCACGCACCGACCCCGAAACGAATTACGCTCCAGTACATTCCTCCAACGCGTGCAGTTCGGGCGGGGAAGACCCGTTTACGCCGTGCGTACGGCCGTTGTGTTTGGAAACCTTTTAACGCGTCCCATCGAGCTCAAGGGGGCACACGTTCCACCATGGGGGGGGGGGCAACGAAAGAAATAAAACTGTGCAATCGCAACGGCCCGCACCCGCTCCACACAGGGAGCACAACCACAGTCGCACCAACCCCCCTGGACGCTCTCCCGTCTCACCTCAATGTCATCCCAACATTCGAGCACTTGCAGTCATCCGCGGCAGCGGTGACAGAACTAACGCTTCGGTTATCACGGACCGGGGAGACGCCATCTCAACCGAACTGTGCTCGATTTTTGATGTCAGTATTCACGCGACGCTTAATTCTTGGTATCGTTTCATATTTGCAAATGGTGATTTGATCTGTATCAAAAAGTACAATGTTTTGACTTCAACATTTTAAATCGCAAACCTCCACCCCCGAAACGTTCAACTCTGCGCGATGTAAGCGATATCCGTAGTAACTGATGTAACGATAACTCTTCGTTTTTTTGCCGTAAATTCAATTGAATATATCTAATGGGCTCAACAGTTGACTTTAAAATTATTATTCTATCAGTTTTTTAATTCTACTTGCGATTAAGCTTTTTCTTTCCCAAGTAAGCAAGCAAGCATCCGGACTTAGCGAAGACCGAATTTTTCAAGCAACAACGAACACATTTAAAGAGCCCACACCACTCACAGAAGCCTGCAATTGAGTTCAAATGTTTAACACTGCCTAGCAGTTGATACATTGAAAACGAATTTATTTAGAACTGCTCTGGGTTTAGTTTGTTGTCCGTCCACCGGACCTCCGATTAGCACGGTTGGCCATGTGCGGTGCAAAAGAAGTTCAACATACATACACACGTACATAAAGGTATGTTAATTAAAGCCATTAAGGTTTTTAAATTCTCTCCAGCACATACAAAAGTATAAGGATTCCATCACCAAGCAATAATTCGTAGCAATTAGCAACATCGGCAAGATATGACAACGGGTTTTTGTTGTTGCTTAATCTGTTAAATTAAAGGATTTTTTCTCTTTCGTATAACACGATCGTTATCGTTTCATTGTATTTAATGGCTGGCACGCCTCAGCCAAAGCATTTCAACAAGTGCCGCTTGCTAAATCTAACAAACAAAAATAAACAAAGAAAAAGCCCTCGGGCGCACACTTCACTATCTCTCTCTCTCACAGACACACCACTTGGGCCCTCCGCAAATTCTGCAATACACATCGTTGGTATTTGTATTTCTTTTCCGAGGGGGGGGGGAGGGGCGGAGGTTCTTTTAAATAATTATAAAACGTGCGTTTTTTAGCTGTTCGCGGCGGACGCCTCTGCCGTCTGCACGCCCTCGTCTTGCTCCAGCCGCTCGGGCTCATGGGAGTCTCCGTTTGCGGCCGCCACTCCGTTGGCTGCGGCCTCCGCCGAGGAGGAGGTGGCGGCGGCGGCGGCATCGTCGTCGTCGGCCGCTTCGTCTTCCGGCATCACGAAGCCCTTCTCCGAGAAGGCCTGCTTGTGCGAGGTCACCATCGCCTCCAGCTGCTGCACCTCGGCCTTCAGCTTAATGATGTCGTCCCGCCTGGACCCCACCCCCGCGCACAGCCACAGGACAAACGCAGGCGTGTTAACGTCACGCGCGTCACGGTATCGAGGCACAAGGGCCCTCTCTGCGCACAATGCTTTGCTCATTTCGTCAAGGAGCATGAACCGTCACGTGAACTCCGGTCATCATCACAGCCGCGGCTTTTTGGCCGCCGGCCATCGAACAAAGACGGTCGTCTGGAACGCGCTCTTCCTTCCAATATGAGGATGCCACTGGAGCTATGCACTTTTAAATCATCATCATCTAGATTGAAAACCCATTTCTTTAGAATTGCTTTGTGCGTTTAGTTTGTGGTCCTTCCCCCGCACCTCCGATTAGCACGGATGGCTACGTACGGTTCGAAAGATGTTCAACAAACATACATCAACGGCAGCATTGCTCCACAGAATTTCACCTCTAGAATAAAATATTTTCATTTATGAGATAAGCAAACCTCTAAATTAAATCTTATGTACAAATATAATCCTGAGAGTGCCCGATCTTGTTGGACCTGTCAAGCTAAGCAGGACTTGGGCCTGCTTTGTACTTGGATGGCAGAGCAACAATTATCTCCGCCTTGCGCGGGTTGCAATTTTAGTTCACCCAGTCTGTGGTAGCCGCCGAGGGCGTGGCGGGAGTTGTTCATCACTCCAGTTGCCGTGTGCCCCCCTGTGCCGTTCACATGCACTGATGTCCAGTGGCGGATTAAGCTAGTACGGGGCCTGTAGCATATGTTATAAAGGGGCCCTAAATAAAATAAAAACACAAATGTTTAACTTGCATAGCAAATTGTATTTTTAAATCCTTTATATTAAGTTCACTTGCTTGCTTGCGCGCTTACGACCGTGCAAATCTTTCAGTCGTTTTTTAACCCACTTCCCGTGATCCAATCGAGCTGACATTTTGCACACAGACTCGTTGTGCGTGACAATTTATTTTCTTGAAAATTTTCCACTTTTTAGGAAATTTTTTTTTTCATATTTAATTTAAAATACCTAATGTGATAAAAATGAAACTCTTACTCAAGAAAAACAGAAATGAATAATAAAATAAAGCCGATGCCACGCATATAAAGGATTTATATGCGTGACAAATCGCTAACCTTAAACACCCGGTCGTTCATAAAAGTTGAAGGCAGTATAGTACTATAGTACTAGAGCAAGTGCAGAACCACTGAACCGGAATTGATAGCTTGAAAGCATTAAGCGCGGGGCCCTTGAAAGAAAATGCGGGGCCCATAGCTTATGTAGCTACTTTTGCTACTAGGATAATCCGCCACTGCCGATGCCTACCTTGATTGGCACGTAAACTAAAGACGGATCGATTGATTGTTACGTCCCTTCGCACAGGCTGTCCTTCGCGTTCTCCGGTTTCCTCTGACAAAGCCAAACACATTAACCAAGTGGCAATGGCCAAACGACGCTCCGATCCACTCTTTCAGTTGTTAAATGTCGTTGTGCTTGGTGCGCATATGTCCCCTCGTCAATATTGTCAGTTCAACCAATCGGCGAGTTACCAGTGACCATGCGGGGTCCTTTCTCGGTTCACTGATCGCCGAATAAAGTTACTTAAATTACCTCCCGCCTGCGCCTTCATTGAGACTCGTTAATTTCGCACCGTCACAGTCAGTCACCATTAGATCTCTGGTGCATAGTCGTAGACTCAAAACTAATTTTACAGATTGAAAACTCATTGCTTTAGAGCTGCTTTTTTGTGTTTAGTTTGTTGTCCTCCCCCGCACCTCCGATTAGCGCGGATGGCGACGTGCGGTGCGAAACAAGCGCGAGTTCAACACACAAAGCGCTTTTCAGGATTTTTTTCTTCTTCCGGTCACCGTCATCGTTTGACGAAACACTGCGTTGACAAAATATCTACGATCGGTGTTTTCAGTGGTTCTGCACGCAGCCACCCGGGGCAGGGGGGGGTCACAGCAGGAGTGGCAGCACAGGCGCTCACCCGAGCGTTGGCAGTACGATCCCGTTGACGGCGTTGAGCAGCTCCAGGATGTTCTGCATGCTCGGCGCCGAGATCTGCAACAGCAACGGCGCGCAGCAGAGTCACCGACTTCGTCGCACGGGGTGCCCGCGATTGACGCTTACTCTGCCCGCAATGATTCACAATTTAATAACCGGGTCACGATTTTTGGCGGCTGCGATTAGATTCGCTGGTTATTTGATACTTGGGTCGACTGTGCCGTCTACGCGAGCACGTACGTCAGTAGAAGCGTCGTCAGCAGTCATCTCTCAAGTCGGTTAATCCACGACGTGGGCTTCCATCCTGTGACCACCCCCCCCCCCCGACCCCCTTAGCTGCCAGCGAGCCCTTGGTCACTTCACGTGCCCTCCAAGTGGCACAAGCGACGGTGGTGACAAACGCGATCACCGGGATCAGGCCGAGCGGTTTCACCTGCGGGGGTGCGATGCTGGGCTTGGCCCCGTTCTTGTAAATCTCGTTCATGGTTCTCTGCAGAGCCACCGCCTGCTGGGTCAGGTGCTTCAGGTACTCGGAGCTACCCACGGTCTTCTCGTGCACGTCCCCGAACTGCGCACGGGCAAGCACACGCCGGGGGGGGGGGACTTACGCGCGTACCGAACGAGTGCGACGCACGGATTCAAAACGATTAACCACCCGCGCGCTTAGAACTCGCGACGCGCGCAAAACCCGCTTCCCCGCCCGCTCGCGCACCTGCGCCTTGTAGATGGTGTACGTCTCCTTCTCGTGCTGCAGCGCCGAGCGGAAGTCTCCCTTGCTTGAGAAGACGCGAGCCAGCAGGTGGTGGCTGCAGGGCACACGCACACATGGAACATGAGCGCACGCGCGTGCACACAGACAAACGCATGCACGGAACATGAGTGCACGTGCGTGCACACAGACACACGCACACAGAAAACAAAGACAAAGACCCCCTCCCGGCTAGCCTCAACAGATTATTGGGGCAAGTGCTGTTAGCGAGCACCTATGAAGGCCGGCACAGCACACGAAGGGGTGGGTGGCCAGCACCACGCCCGACCGCCTTTGTCTGACCCAGTGGCTATGATTTTACACACCGCACCAGGTACTCATTTTAGGCTGAGTCGACCTAGGAGAGACCCAAGACGAGAGCAGATATTAGTCACTGGTGTTGGCCATGAGCGGGAATCGAACTAGGGTATGCTGGTTCGAAGCGCGCCGCGCTACCCGCTACACTACCACACACACACACAAGGAGCAGCACAATTATAGGCAATCACTTACACAGTAACTCCATGAGCGCCATCTGGTGTTAGAGGGACTCCTATTCAATTGACTTATTGAAGTATAACACGGAATAATTCGCGTCATTGTGAATATAAATGAAAATTTAATCGCACAATGGGTCTGCTTCGTAAATCCCTTTGACCGCAGCCCATCGGCCCAATGACCTTCTGGGAGTGCATCAGTTCAACGAAAACGATTCGGTAAAAGAAAATTCAGGACCCATTTTTCGACATTGCTGGGAATGAGACAACGGGTGGGGGGGGGGGCTGTTGATAAAAACGGGAACGATGTTGATAACGGCACAATCTTAATGACAATAATGAATGAACTATAGACGATCGTCATGATCATGACACCGATGTCGAGAATGACGTTGATGATCACACCGCCGACTAAAATAACGACGCCTGTAGATTACAATTTTGACGAGGACAACGATTGATGAAAATAATGATGACGACGACGACGATGATCACGACGACTATACGCTCGCTTCTATTTCACATGACGACGCATTTGACGATGCCGTTAGCGCGCGTGGTTGTGGTGACGACGATGACGACGACGACGTTGCGATAGCTTCCACTTCATATGACGACCACGACGACGCGTCTGACGACGCCGTGACTGCGCGTGGTGGCGACGACTACGACGACGTTCGCAGCAGCGGCTGTCACCTGAGCGCGGCACGGAGGCACTTGCCGCCGGCGTACTTGACGTTGGTGCCATGCGCCTTCTCGAGGAAGCGCAGCGCCAGCTCGTACTCGCTCACCCCGTGCAGCATCAGCCCGATGTTACTCTGCGCGCGACGGGAGAGACGCAGGTCAACCAAAGATTATATTTTCAGGAAGTTTGCTCGTTGTCCCAATGCGTATACACTGGTTGAGGGGGGTTGGTGCGGCTGAGGCAAGGTCGGGTCTCTTGGAATTTCTATTTATTTGATACAGCAATCGTGCTGTGACGGTTCCACCTGAAGACGGAAGCTTGAGTTGCCTCCGAAACGTCGTGATTTTTTATTTTACTTCTATTAATTTTTTTCCTACGTGACTTTACCGAAAAGACCTAAGAGTATGAATCCTTGCAGTCACGAAAACTTCAAATCTAGAAACATTATTATTAGTTTATTAATCTTCTTGGTTCTTTCGGTAAAGTCACGTAGAAGGGAAATAATATAAATAAAACATAATAAAATAATTCTCACGACGTTTCGGCCACAACGCAAGCAGCCGTCCTCAGGTGAAGAACAGGTCTGTCGGAAAGACAGCGTCTGAATGAACACCACCAGGCTTAGCAGCGTATATTTAAGCTCTTCCCCCTCCAACCCAGCTTAAATATACGCTGCCAAGCCTGGTTGTGTTTCATTCAGACGCCGTCTTTCCGACAGACCTGTTCTTCACCTGAGGACGGCTGCTTGCGTTGTGGCCGAAACGTCGTGAGAATTATTTTGTTATGTTTAATTTTATTATTTTATTATTTTCCTTCTACGTGACTTTACCGAAAGAACCAAGAAGATGAATCCCTGCAGTTACGAAAGCTTAAATCGAAAATTTATTATTTATTATTTTTATTATTTAATTTTTTCCCTTCTACATGACTTTACCGAAAGAACCAAGAAGATGAATCCCTGCAGTCACGAAAGCTTTAAATCGAAATTTAGTTTATTAATATTCGTGTTTATTATCATTATTATGAGTGTTTTGCACGAGGCGGTGCTTACGTCGAAAACGGCCATCTGCGGGTGGTCCTCTCCCACGAGCAGCAGCGCGAGGTAGCGCCCGCGGTAGAGGAGCTTCAGCGCGGCCGAGATGTGCGCGTTCGTGAAGCAGTAGAGGGCAAAGTTCATCTGGCAGGATGGCGAGGAAACGCGCGTCACGCGGAGGGCACGGCGCGCGTCCGCCAGCCACCGTTACCGTTCGCCCGTTCAAAAGAACGTTCCTAAACTCAAAACGGACGCACCTATCGTGTGCCACGGCCAAGGGCCGATTGTTTTACAATTAGCGCAATTTGTACGCGACGAACGTACCGTTTCGGTTAGTGGAAACGAACAAGACGGGACATTTGCGATAAGACAGTCCAACCGAGACGGTTAAAGAATTGATTCTTCAATCGAGTCGCAACCCACGAAATCGTCGTCTCGATCCGACAATTTATGAAATCGCTTGGGGGGAGGCAGTGAATGGATAGAAACTACAGACACACGACAGGGTTAGCGGCCTGGTTGAGAGAGTGCGAGTGCAGGGAGGTACACTCACGTATTCCTGGATGGTGTACGGGCTGTCGATGCCGAGGACTCGCTCGCTCATCATGGTGGCTTTCTCTTGGCAGCTCAGAGCCTGCAACATTGTACGAGACAGAGACAAAGATCACCCGAATAGCCTTGAACAGACTGTTGGGGCAAGCGCTGTCAGCGAGCACCTATGAAGGCCGGCACGGCGCACGAGAAGGGTGGGTGGCCAGCACCACACCCAGCCGCCTTTGTCCCCCCAATGCTGATATTTTTGTTACACTCTGTACCAGGTACTCGTTTCAGGCCGAGTCAACCTAAGAAAGGCCCAGAATCCGTTTAGATAATCGTCACTGCTGTTGATCGTGAGCGGGAATTGAACTTGGGCTGCCAGGTTCGTAGCGCAGCGCGCCAACTGCGACGCCAAATACAAAGAGCCCCCATTATAGCCTTAACAGTCTGTTGGGGCAAGTGCTGTTAGCGAGGACCTATGAAGGCCGGCACGGTACACGACGGGGTGAGTGGCCAACACCACTCCCGGCCGCCTTTGTCTCCCTAAGTGGCGATGTTCACGCGACGCACCAGGTTACTCATTGGACGTCAAGTCGACATGCGTAGAGAAATGAAGACATTTGCACGTACACAAAAACACATCCGCAACAACAACAACAACCGCCATTTGCCACTAAGTGGCGGTGACGTCACCACGGCGCTTGTTCCAGGCTATGCACACACACGCCGGCGTGTGCGTGGCGCCGCGTCCCCACGCACCTCTCCGTGGTCGCCCAGGATGTAGTGGAGGCGCGCGAGGAGACGCAGGCAGGCGATGATCTCGGCGTGCAGTGCGCCGTACACGCCGTTGTAGAGGTTCAGCGCCTCCCCCAGCTGCGTGCAGCCCTCCTTGAAGAAGCCTGCACGGCGACACAGTCCGGCCCCATGCACGCACACACACGGACACACGCAGACACACGCAGACACACACAAACACACACAGACACAAACAAACACACACACAGACACAAACAAACACACACACACAGACAGAAACAGACACACACACACACAGACACAAACAGACACACACACACACAGACACACACAGACACACACAGACGCACACAGACACGCACACACACACACACACAAACCGCGCGTGTCAATGTCGTCGCCAATGGCTTCGTTTGCACGGTGCGCGCGAGGGGGAGGGGGGGGGCAGGCTCCCTTTCGTTGCCGCGGCGACAATGTGGGGGGGCAACTACTCGGGGAATCCCCGTGATCCGTACCAATCCGGGGAAGTTCCTCCCCTGTCGGCACTGCCCGTGCGTGTGCCCGTGCGTGCCCGTGCCTCACCCTGCTGTATGTGCGCCTGGGCGGTCTGGAAGATGCGCTGCGCGTCCGTGGCGCGCGCGTCCAGGTGCTTCACCACCGGGAACATGTTGAGGATGTCCTCCTCCGTGAAGGTCGCCTTGTGCCGCCCCTCGAAGTTGTACTCCCGGAGCAGCACCTGGGGACGCGCGACGGCAAGGGGACGCGCGCTGAGCACCGCGTTGTCCGGCCCTCCCCGCGAGCGAGCGGATGTGAACGAACGGACGGACGAGCGGACGAGTGGGACGTAAAACGCACGGAGGCCTCCGCGCGCTCTCGTTCGTCTTACGCCGGACGGAATGAGAACGCGATCGGCGTTTTGGGGTTCACCCCCGGCGCCCAACCCGCCACAAGCGATTCTAATTTTGCCGCAATTCAAATCTGGATCAGATTTACTTTTCGCCGAATGCTTAGCATCATCTCGTACGCACCTGTTTCGCATATGTTGCCGAATCGTTTTTTTATTTACGGTTTTTATTAAACTCCAATTCTCGGAATGTAACGACAGCGAATGATGTAGATATAATCTGCACGAAAGGCAAATAATCGAATCTCACATTCACCTTTCGATGCATGTACAGCGAGAGTTCGACCCGATTAACCGATGCATCACAACATGCCGAGTGAATAAGCACAAGGACCAATCCCTCGTTACCCCAGGGGGCTCTTCAGCAAAACCCCTCGACAAAACGCACGACGGGAGACTGCCCGACTCAAAATAGGAAGGTTGTTTTAGTTCAGATCCTGGTCAGGGGATCACCTTGGCCCATCATCATCGTCACCACCATCCCTTGGGGATAGATAAAGTCAAAAAAACAATTGCCCAAGTAGTCTTGTGTTTGCCCGGTTGCATAAGAATGTGGACTTTGAGGCTCAAGAACAGCAACAGGATGGTTTGAGCATTGGAGGCACTGGCTTTACCTATGTCTCTGCTTTAGCCGTGACGCGTCGCATTTTGCAGAAAAGCTGAGCTCCCATTTAGAAAGTCCCGAAGTCGTGTCCTGCCCAGAGTTCAGTCCCGTCACCATCATCACCGTCACCATCATCACCCCTACCCACCGTCTTTAACAGCCTAAAGGCCAATTCAATTATCCCTTTTACACAGCATCAATGTTCAAGTTCTCACCACTACTGAGTAACTTGAGAACCCCCCCCTAACCCCCATTGCCTCCTGAACGCGTCACCACCTTGCTTGTGATGTATGTGCGTCGGAACTTATTTTCGCACGCCGTACGTAGCCAACCGTGCTGATCGGAGGTGCCAATGTTGGTCGCTCGCGGCCACAGCCCCCGACGACCGCGACGACGACTCACCTGGATGCCCCCCTTGAGGCAGATCTCCCGCAGGAGCGCGAGCTTCTGGATTCCGTACTTCTCCAGGGCCTGGTCCACGCCATCACTGCCACAACGAGACCGGGCTGCGACTTAGGCCAGACTGGATCAACGACGAACCCAAACCCGCGTTATTTCTCCCAGCTCGCACCTGGAGTGGACGGCCATTTGCACACTCCCTCCTCCCCTCCCACCCTTAGCAGTGCACAGCCACTGGGTTTGCACAGTCATGTGGGGGGGTGGGTGGGTGGCGATGTTTACACATCGCACCAGGTTACTCATTTTTTTTTTTTCTTTTAACAATCGACCTAGGGAAGGGTCCAGGACCGCTTCAGATAATCGTCACCGGCGTTAGCCATGAGCAGGAATCGAACTCTGGTCTCCGCCGGGTTCGTAGCGCAGCGCGCTAACCACTCCACTCCCACCAGCGCCAGCGCCCGGCTAAGATCCGGTCCACTGGTGCGCCCACTCACCACTCGAGGTCGATGGCGTAGTACTCGCGCGCCTCCGTGCGGATGCTCTTCCACAGCTGCTGGGGGGACAGTGCGGCCCAGCTGCCGCTGTCCGTGCCCGCGCCGTGACCCCCGCGCTGGTTGCGCCTCCGACCGCGCCGCTTGCCCTTGGGCGCCGACGACGCCGCGTCCTCGGAGGCCTGCGCATTCGTTCGGCGATTCGTCGATCAATTGATTCAGTGGCTCGTTCAGCAATTCATTTATTCAGCGATTCTTTCGTTCGCTTACGCTAATTCAGTGACCCATTCAGTGATGCGTTCACCGATTAATTCAAAGTTTCATTCGGCGACTTATTTCGGCGTTTAATTCGTAGTTTCACTCATTCGGCGACTCGCTCGTAAAATTCGGTTCAGCGACTGTGGCAGTGCCGCGCGCGGACGAGCCGGTCCACAGCGACCGACACGTGCGACGCTCCAAGCAACATCTGGGGTGCGACACGGACCACCGATGCACTGGCGATGACGCAGCGAGCATCCGTTCTCGCCCCAACACTGCGAGCTCTCGTGCGGTTCTTGTTGCGGCACGGGCGAACGACGACCACGAGCAAGAACCGGAATGATTGTCAATGTGCCATCTCGTCCGCACCCTCCCCCCCGGACAGGCGTCGCGAATCGTCGGTCGCCATTACCTGCGCATTCGACGCGGAGGAGTTGTTGTTGTTCGCGGCTCCCGCACCCCCGGCGCCCGGGGCTGCGGTGCCCGACGAGGAAGACAAAGAGGAGGACGAGGAGGGGGCTCCGGGGTTGGAGCAGGCGCTCAGGAAGCAGTTGAGGAAGTGAGCGACGGCGATGGAGAGACCTGACAGGTCCGTGTTCTGCGGGGGGAGGCGGGGGGGGGGGGGGGGGGGGCGCGTGCAACATGGAACACGCAAACAGGCAGTGCACGCTCGCACGTGGAGATGGCATCGCGTGGATATCACCCGCCGTGCTCAACCCCCCCCCCCCGCCAAGACAAAGATCCCCCGTATAGCCTTAATAGACAATCGGGGCAAGTGCTGTTAGCCAGCAGCACCTATGAAGATCGGAACGGTACACGAGGGGGTGGGGTGGCCAGCACCACGCCCGACCGCCTTCGTCTCCCCAGTGGCGATGTTTACACACCGCACCAGGTACTCATTTGAGGCCAAGTCGACCTAAGGGAGGCCCAGGACCGGTTCAGACAATCGTCACACGTGTCGGTCGCGAGCGGGAATCGAACTCGGGTCGCCGGCTTGGTAGCGCGGGGCGCTAACCGCTGGACTACCGCTCCCCCAAACACCGGGGCACGCAGCCACCGGGGGCAAAACCGCCGCGTTTGTTTCCACACCTCCACCAAGTGACGATGTCGACACATCGCTACCAGGTACCCGTTTAAGGCCGAGTAATTCTAAGGGGAGGCCAGGCCCAGGACCTGTCCAGGGGGCGACGCTCATCGCAACATGCACAGACACGCGCGCACAGGATCACGCGCACCGCACACACGCGCGCGTGCGTTAAGAAAGTGTGCCGTTTAAAGTCCTGTTCTCAAAACATGTAGCCAGTCTCTTTCGTCGTGCATCATGCAGCCAGATGGAATGACGGTTCAGACTGCTTAACAAAAATCTCATCAGGCGCCGACCTCGGCTCGTCATCCTTCCCGACAGAGACCGAACCACTGTCATGGGAATGTGGAAATTCCACCGCAGACTCAGGGGCTGCAGACAGCGATGAGCACGCCACAAAGCAGCCGATCGGGAGAGCGTGCGGATGCCTTTCCCCGTTACGATTAACGACAGGCGCAAACGTGACATCGCTCGCCCGCCCGTCGTGACCGACGGATTACCTGCAGGTAGGTCCTGAGAAGGTGCTTGGCCGACCTCGTGATTATCTCCACGATGACCAGGCTCTGCACAACGGAGACGGATGTGCAAAGAGAGAACACGCCTGAAGGCCGCTGGCCACGGATGGCACGAACTCGCATCGTCACGAACTCGCATCCTCAAGAGCGCCAGGGGCTTTTGTGCGAGCGTCGAGAGCGACTCACGTGGAGGTAGGAGAGCGTGCGAGCGTCGGGCAGGCCAGTGATCATCCGGGCGAGCGTGCCCAGGTAGCGCAGCCCGATCCCACGCCGATGCAGAGCCTCCACCAGCGTCGAGCCGTCCATGGGCACCACCAGCTGCTCCATGCAGTCCTTCAGCTGCAATAACAACCACCACCAGCACCAGCAACGGCATTATACTCTTGAAACTCCAAGGTTACATTCAGAGTTAAAACTTTCGTTACTGCAGGAATTCATATTCTTGGTTCTTTCGGTAAATTCACGTAGATAGAAAATAAAATAAATTTTTAATTAAAATAAAATAAATTTTGTTTTTCCTACGTGACTTTACCGAAAGAACAAAGAATATAAACTCGAAGGCGTTCGTAGCCAATGCAAGGATCCATTTTAGTTTTTGGGCGAGGCCCACGTGGTCGTTTTACAGTGACATTGTTGTCGACGGCCCTCCACCACCCGACAAGATTGTCACGAGGGAGGGAGCGAGGGAGGGAGGGAGGGGGGGGAGGGGAGGGAGCGAGGGAGGGAGGGAGCGAGTGAGGGAGCGAGGGAGGGGACGGAGTGAGGGGAGCGAGGGAGGGAGGAAGGGGAGGGAGCAAGGGGACAGAGGGGAGGGAGGAGGGGACTCACAAACGCCGGCATCTGCACCGAGACGAGGAAGGCGGCCGCCTCGAACAGCAGCCGCTTCTGGTGCTGAACGGACTCGCGCTCCGACTCCGGGAAGCGCACGGCTGCACACACAGAGACAAAGGTGCCGCCCCGCAGAGCCTTGACAGACGTGTAGGGGCAAGTGCTCTCGGCGAGCACGGACCCGGGGGTCGGGGGTCGCGGTGGGGGGGGGGGGGGGTCGCGGTAGGGGGAGGATGACGGTGGGGGGGGGGGTCGCGGTAGGGGGAGGATGATGGTGGGGGGGGGGTCGCGGTAGGGGGAGGATGATGGTGGGGGGGGGGTCGCGGTAGGGGGAGGATGATGGTGGGGGGGGGGTCGCGGTAGGGGGAGGATGATGGTGGGGGGGGGGGGTCGCGGTAGGGGGAGGATGACGGTGGGGGGGGGGGGGTGACGGTGGGGGGGGGTCGCGGTGGGGGGGGTCGCGGTAGGGAGAGAATGACGGTGGGGGGGGGGTCGCGGTAGGGGGAGGATGATGGTGGGGGGGGGGTCGCGGTAGGGGGAGGATGATGGTGGGGGGGGGGGTCGCGGTAGGGGGAGGATGACGGTGGGGGGGGGGGGGTGACGGTGGGGGGGGGTCGCGGTGGGGGGGGTCGCGGTAGGGAGAGAATGACGGTGGGGGGGGGGGGGGTCGCGGTAGGGGGAGGATGACGGTGGGGGGGGGGGGGGTGACGGTGGGAGGGGGGGTGACGGTGGGGGGGGGTCGCGGTGGGGGGGGGGTCGCGGTGGGGGGGGGGGATGACAGTGGGGAGGGGTTGGCGGTGGGGGGGGGGGATCGCGGTGGGGGGGGGATGACGGTGGGGTCACGGTGGGGTCACGGTGGGGGGGATGACGGTGGGGTCGGGGTGGGGTCACGGTGGGGTCACGGTGGGCTCCGCTCTCACTGGGGGTGAAGACGTCGGGGTTGAAGCGGATGTCGAAGAACGCGTCGTTGACGGAGCCCACGGCTCGGCACGCGTTGCGCATTACGTCGTGGCCGTTCATCTCTGCCGCCATCGGTCCGTTGCGCAATCACACGAATCCAAAAGATTTCAACATTAGCCACGAAATTAATTAGCAAAACAACCATCGCGCGATCGACCAAGTGGTAAAAAACGATAATTCCGCAATAACTTAACGGTTCTTTACTTACACAATCGATCAATTGCACAACCGAAGCGCGACAAAATTATAAACGCAATCTATTCTTTACACAACGAGTTATTTTTCATCATTCATTGCAGAATACATAGTTATAAACGCCATCTATGAGTTACACGATCAATAACACAGAGTCATAAGCAGAGAAGGAGAGGGACTGAGCTTAGGGCAGAGACTTTAATCAAGAAAGCCGGGCCTCAAACACAGAGGGCGTTCCAGACAGCAGGAGCAGCAGATTTTTTTGGACTAATACGAAAACTATTTTTTTATTTGATCAGGTAAGTAAGGCCCACCCCGCGCTATATATCTGTTTTTAAAAAGCGACCTGGCTACCACAGGTGATGGCTCAACGAAGTGACTTATCACGTCGAAATTGACAGCAGCCAAATGCTCCAAAACGCGTGATGCCGATTCTAAACGTGGAGGGAAAACCCGGAGGACCCGGGAGAAAAATCCACGCAGCAGCAGTGAAATACAAGACCACGGCACGCGAGTAAGTGAACCATAGCGCCGTGCAGCAGTGCGCGCGCGTGCGGAGTTGACCGTGGTGGTGTACAGGCGGCCCCCCCCTCTCACCCGCATCGTCGGTGCCCTGGGCCTCGTCTGCGCCTTCCTTCTTGAGCGCCTTGTGCTGCGAGATGGCGAGGTGCATGAACTGCTGGTGCCTGACACGCGCACACGCAAGCACATGCACACCCCGAGTCAGCGAGACCGGCACGGCACCGCCATCACAGGGGCCACGCACAGCGGCCCCATCACGCGACCGTCGTACGGTCGTCACGCCGCCGCCAAGACGACTGGACACACGTGACGCCGTCGCGCGAAAGGCGTCGCCGTCACATGACCAACGTAGCATTGTCACGTGACCCAATGTAGCACAGTTTGTTGTCTTTCCCCCGTGCCTCGGATTCCCGCGGTTGGCTACGTACAGTGCAAAAGAAGTAAAAAATATACACACACACACACAGTTGCGTGACTTTCCCGAAGAAAAAACTAAACTTAATCGGTAACGAGGCCATGCGCGGGAGGGCGTGTGGCACAGTTTGGTGCCAGCTATCAGAGTGGCGGTCGTGTTACTGAAGTTCTCTGCCGTGAATGCCATGTCTTTAAAAAGAATGGCGCTATGCCTCTAAATTCTGATTTGGCGGCGAACGGTACACCCACCCTGCAACTTGCAGTCTTCTCGGCACAGGAAAGGGTGAACAAATCACCGCTACGCTACCGTCATCACCGCCATCGCCGCCACCGCCGCCACCTCCTGACCAACACGTCGACGGTCGCGCGAATGACAGGCCACCGCCGTACGACACGAACGACTACTCCCGCTGCTAATGACTGCGGGACGCGGCGAACGTTGGCAGTCGTAGTTTACATAACAACCACTCTGCTCCATCCCCGCCCCCCCACCCCCTACTACTCACTTGCTCTGTACGAAGGCGTCCACGAGCTCGTGACGCAGGCAGGGCAGGCGGTGTCGATGCGCCCTTGGGAAGCCGAGGCTCGTGCACACCTCCGGGAACGGAACCTCCTCCTCCTTCTTCTTCTTCCCCTGCTCCTCCTCCTGATCCTCCTCTTTCTCCTCCTTCTTCCCCTGCTCCTCCTGCGCCGCCCCCGTCTCCTCGCCGTCGCCCTCCGCGGCCCGGACGTCGTCCGTGGCCTCGGGCGTGGCCATCGGCAGGAAGTTGGCGTCGGGGGGGAAGGTGCGGATCAGGTCCAGGATGTAGTGGCGGCCGTCGTTACCCACAATGCCCTTGCACTCCACGGAGGAGCACAGCTCCACGGCCTCGTCTTTCTCGTTGAGAACCTGCAAGAGAATAGGGTTTGTTTTTATTGCGTCAATATCATGTATACAGGGTGTCTCAAAAGAATGTTAACACTTGTATGGGACTATCGTTTTCATGGGCAAAAAAAACGGATAATAATACACTGTAACGTGATACCAAATGTAAATGTTAATAGCTTCAAAAGGTCAAAGAGTCTCCACTTGTTCGCCATCGTTGTCAACGCGTGGCCTGGAATCTTCTCCAGGTGGTCTCTCCAGAGCCCGGGAGGCACATTTATTGTGGTGTTGTTGCAAATTCTCAGAAGTGTTAAACACACTTTTTTTTAAGCACCCTGTATTTCGGTTGAACACCCTCTCTGCGTATGGGGGGGGGGGGGTAGTACAAGCTTGCAACAATAATACTGTGGCTTCAGAAACACAGCGTGCTAGAGGGAGGCCAGTGTGACTAAGAGGAGCCACACAGCAGGGCGGGAGGGCGGCAGCCGATCCCAGCGGCCCGATCCGTCTGTGCACATCGTGGTTGTGAATTTTCTCCAGGCACTTATCGGCTCCCTCCTCTCGCTTGGCAAACACCAAAAAGTTGTTGACGCCGCAGTCCAAACGTCTGTCCTGCCCGCGCCGGGTAACAGACCGTCGTGCCGTGCCCATGCACGCGCTTACGGGACCGCACCCTGTAGGTGCACACCCGTCTCACGTGCGTACCAGCATGCACAACGAACGTCCTGGATGCGCCGACAACCGTGAACGTAGATTCACACGCCAACGTGCACACCGCCAAGTGCGCACGTACAATCCCCACGCATGGTGAGATCATAGTATTAGGTTTTTACCCTTTCAACTGGTACGAAAACTGACACCTTTATACAAGGCATCATGTTTGCAATAACCACAACACAAGCAGTCAAAATGCAAACAAAAAGAAACAACTCTGATGATGGTAATGATATGCACTGTCCTTACTATCATCAGAGTTGTTTCTTTTTGCTGCTTGTGTTGTGGTTATTGCAAACATGATGCCTTGTATAAAGGTGTCAGTTGTTGTACCAGTTGAAAGGGTAGAAACCTATTACTATATTTTGCCACTGGTAAAGGAGGCCTCAGTGTTAATGGCGAGATCAGTCAGATGCACGGACCCGCACAAGCAACGTGCGCGTGCACGAGCAGGCGAGCCGATTCACAATGTCGGGCCAGGGTGGCACGGTGGTAACACTGGTGGCCTGATCGGCCAGAACAAGAAGCCCCCCCGGGGTAAGATTCTCAACAACTCGGGTGTGCGTTCCTGCGCGTGAAGTCTGTACGCGTGTTCTGCCACCCCCCTTCCCCCGTATTCCGCATGAGTTTCATCCGGGTTCTCCGGTTTCCTCTCCAAAGCAAAAAAAAAAAAACAAACCCGCCACATAAATGTAACTTGGCATTGGCCAAAGCTCCCAATTCTGAACAACAAGAAAAATGTCCTTGCAAACTTGGCAAGCGAACACGGGGACTCTGCGAGGCCTTCCCTCGGTAAACAAGCGTAACAGTAACGATCATAAATAATACAAGGAGTAGCAACAACAACAACAACATCAACGAGCAACGACAACAATAGACACCTTGTGGCGCAGGATGTGCAGCGGCTTGGCGACTCGCTCCAGCAGCGTGGTGAACTTGCGCGTGGTGGCGGCCGTCGTGAGCTTGCCGGACGACGAGGAGCAGGCGACGGTGGCGCCGAAGTCCAGGGAGCCGTAGGCGATGGCCTGCTCCTGCTCGCGCTCCAGGATGCCGGGGATCACCGACTGCGCCGTCACGCGGTAGCCGCGGTAGTCCACCAGCGCCGTCGCCAGCACGTGCAGCCCCTCGGGGTCCAGCGCCGACACGGCGCGCACGCCCGCCAGGTCCAGGGCCGGGGCCACGTGCGCCGCCGCGTCGCCGCCCACCGCCTGCGCGGGGGGGCGGGGGGGGGGGGGGGAGCCAGGTTAGTCGCCGGGCGACGGCTTATCGATAAAAAACGCGCAGTTGACATCGTCGATCGAGTGCCCGCCGCGTCGTGGAGGAGGAGGAGCGTCACGGGTGGAAGAAATGGTCACTGGCGACCGTTGCCAGGTTACGCTGCGGGAGCGGCGGCATAGGGAGTGGTTCGCAGCGTCGAGCTCATGAACCCGCGGACCGATTCGCTAAACAGTTAACGCAAGCGATATCAGAATAGCTTCGGGCGCTCCCACAGCTTCACCAGCCTGCGCCGACCAACGCGGTGAAGTTTGGTGAAGTTTGTTTAAATAGCCCCCCCCCCTCCCCCCCAAGGCCTCACACTGCATGGCGTGGGTCTTCGACCAGCAGTGAAATGCCAAAAGGTCTACAACATTTGCATCTATATTTTATGTAACAGGCCACATTCCACGAACACGTTCCGTCAGTTTCGGCAAAAACAAAACGATTCCCCCCGTTGAATGAGAGCGGCGAACAGGCAAATGACGTGAAAATAATTCAATCGGCGTTTTTGCCATTCAGAGAGCGCTTGCAAACTTGGCGACAGCGCATCGCAGCGCGACGTCTTCTTGAAGAGACGAGAATTCTGAACCGTGGGTTGGGATTTAAACACACCCCCCCCCACCGCCAAGCATGCGGAGGAATCACTCCCTGCGCCCCCGCCCCCCCCACTCTTGCCTTGTAGTGGTCCCGCACGTCGAAGCCCAGGCTGAAGAAGATGTTGTTCCACAGGAACATCTGCGTGCGCGCGTCCTCCCCGGGGTTGATGGCCATCACGTTGCCGTCCGCCACCGCCATGGCGCCGCGCGCCGCCGCCGCCGTGAAGTCGCTCTGAACCTGGAGCGCGCGCGGGAGATTCAGGACGGTGCCGGCGGCGGGGTAAAAGATTTATTGAAAGGAAGCCAACCCCGCGCCACTGCGGATCTCACTTCCATCTGGGACCACGTGCCCCACCCCACCACCGCACCCCCAATGCCCAAAGATCTTGGGACTCCTCAGCCACCTGAAGAGCCACCACCCAAAACCTGACGGACGTCATCCTCGAAGCGCGAGGGGAACCGCCGCCGCCACCGCCGCCCCCGTCGACGGTAGAATACTCGGACCGTTTTAACAGGAGGACCACGTGAAAGGGTCTCCCGCCTCCGCAAGTGGAAGGTCAACAAGAGAGTCCGCAATGTGACCGAGGAGACTGTGACCAAACGACGGAGCGGCATCGTCAACCGTTGCCCCAAACGACACTTCACCGGGGAGCTCCCGAGAGCGTCAACGCGAAACCGGCATGCCAAGCCGGCACGAGGCTCACAACACTTTAGCAGTAATGTAGAGAATCTAGCCGCATGCCCGAAATATTATTTAGGTATGACCCCAGTGTCAGGGTCGTGACCAGGGACTGCCAGTGTGGATATACGATGGGTACACGTCAGTATAGGGGAATCTAGAAAGGTTTGCAAGTGTGTGCAGGTGTTTAAATCTGTACAGGTGAGTGCGTAGATCTGTACAGGTGACTGTGTATAAGCAAGTGTGTATGGCGAAGTCAGTCTATAGAGGTGAGTGTGTACAGGTGAGGGTATACAGGTGAGTGTGTAAAGATGAGTGTGTAAAGGTGAGTGTGTACAGGTGAGTCTGTCAAGGTGAGGGTATACAGGTGAGTGTGTACAGGTGAGTGTGTACAGGTGAGTGTGCAAAGGTGAGTGTGTGAAGGCGAGTGTGTGTGTCAGGTGAGTGTGTACAGGTGAGTGTGTCAAGGCGAGTGTGTACAGGTGAGCGTGTGCAGGGACGCTCGTGCCTTGAAGATGGCGCGGTCTCTCAGCAATCGCTCGGTAAGGTTCTTGTGAGGAAGCTCTCGCGTCGCTTGGATTTCCTCGTTCCAGTCGCGTGTCTGCGGAACAGCGACGCCTCAGCTCCACGTGACACAGTCCCAGCACAGCGTAGCGTCACACAACCCTCGCAACACCACTTCAGCATCACGCGCGACATGAAGGACACACGCCGGGCAAAAACAAAGCAACATCGCCGCACAACATCAAGCAGACGAAGCAATGGCACCACGCAGCACGATCCCACAACACACCGTGGGCAACGTCATGCGACGACCACGATGCACCACACAGCGTGACACACGAGGCGCCGACAACGGCAAGACTTTGGGAGGTGGTTGAGGAGGAGGAGGAGTGCCTTCAAGCACTCAGGCTGAAAACGAATTTCTTAAGAACTGCTGCTTGTGTTTATCTTGTGTGGTCCTTCTCCCGCACCTCCCGATCAGCACGGTTGGCTACGTACGGTGCGAAAGAAGTTTCAACACACGGTACATACTCCGAGGGGATCTCGGTGCCCCCCCAATGAAGAACACAATCTTCTGAGGCAGGACACGCTACGGGGCGGCTGACCCCTGGCGAGGGATGACTCGGCAGCAACAGCACCCATGTGGATGTCATCCAAGCGGAGAAGCTCCCTGGGCAAAGTCGACGTTCATCAGAAGAAGAACTTCATGGGGAGATGTCGCCCCCCCCCACCCCCCGCCGCCCCCCTAGCGTGAGCTATCGCTCAGCAGCAAGCAGAGGACGAGGGGACCTTGTGGAGAAGAACCCCACACCCCCACCACCCCCGCAAAGACAAAGACCCCCCGTGTAGCCTTAACAAACTGTTGGGGCAAGTGCTGTTAGCGAGCATCCATGAAGGCCGGAACGGCACACGAGCGGGGTGGGTGGCCAGCACCATGCCGGGCCGCCTTTGTCTCCCCAGCGGCGATGATTACGCACACCGCACCAGGTTACTTATTTGATGCCGAGTCGACCTAGGGGAGGAAGCCCAGGACCTGTTCAAGATAATTGTCACCCGTGTTGGTGGCCGTGAAAGGGAACCGAACTTGGGGTCCCCGGCGTGGTAGCGCAGCGTAGCGCCAACCGTTAAAACTCCACCGGTTGACAAGCAACGGTGGAGGAGAGAGCCTGGCTAGGCCGATTACCGCACATGACAGTGACGGTTCCACGTTGGGAGTCAAGACGAAGACAGCAAGCGATGCGGCTCGTCAAGCGTAGGAGCGCTGCTCCTCCACCCCAGGCGGGGAGGGGTGGGGGGGGAGGACACGCACCTGCCCTGGGATGTGCTCCTCGTAGCCCAGGCGGGAGGTGTAGGCCTCCTCCGCTCGCACGCAGTCCACCGTGTGCTCCAGCTGCGGGGCCGTCCAGCTGTACACCTGGAACGGCGTGGCCATGCGCTCCAGCGGGTGCCTCTGCACCCTGTGGGGGTGGGGGTGGTGGTGCGGGGGGAGGGGTCAAAGTTTGCCACGGCAGAACGGGGTTCAAGCGCTCAAGGTCGGAGCTGGGCACGCGTTTATTTAATTAACATTTTTTAAAAGTGTTTTTGTCGATCGAGCGAGCGTAAATTCGACTCTTGCTGTCGCGATGCGTGCATCGAACAAGTCCGCGTGAGAAAGATTAGTTTGCAATCGATGCGGCAAGTGTTTAATGTTTAAAGACGATGAGAAAATAAGGCAAAAACAAGAAACGACGCGAACAAGGCAGTAAACAAAAAAAAACTGAACTTTGAATGGAATTGCAACGCCTAATGGTGACGATAAAATAGTTATTGCGGTGGGGAGGGGGGGATTTCCAATATTTGACGGATTTATTTGCTCCAATAGACAGCCGTGCGTAATTTGCATCTTGCTTATAAAGAAATTCGTACACGCACGATTTGATGCAGTGTATAAGAATCAATTACCTACATACAAACATATCCACATATACACACACACACAAAGTTCTGATAATCGTCACTTGTGTCGGTCGTAAGCAGGAATCGAACTCGGGTGGTCGGGTTCGTAGCGCAGCGTAGCGCTAACCTCTATACAAGACCCCCCCCCCAGCCCTTATAGCCTTTAACAGACTGTAGGGGTAAGTGCTGTTAGCGAGCACCTATGAGGGCCAACACCACGACAGGTCGTCTCCCCAGTGCCGACGTTTTGCACATCTCTCCAGCTGCTCATTTAAGGCCGAGTCAACGCAAGGGGGGAGGAGGGGGCCCCTACGCACGCATGCAGCCTACGCACGCACGCCTACGCACGTGAAGTACCGGTGAGGACGCTTGACACCGAGGTTGAGGCACACGTGTATTTATTTTACAGTACAACAGTGGGCATATAACACTCGAGGGGGTATCGGCCCCCTCACCCGTATAACTGGGGATACACCCCTAGCTATCCCTGACCTACCCCCGAGTCCTCCACTAACGGGCTAGGGGAGGCTGTCTGGCCCGACACTGGCGAGTCGGGCTACGGTACCCGGAGTCCCAGAGTGCTGACTCTGGTTCACGGGACCACGCCGCTGGCTCGGTCCTGCGCGGCCCTGACAAGGGCGGCGTCTCAGGGGAGTCCAGGGCTCTAGCTACCCGGGTCTTCAGTCTTCCCTTCTTCGTTCTAATACTGAGCCCCGAGCTCTCTCTGTCATCCCCTTTTATACCCCCTCCCAGATCACAACCGCCGGGCAGCCCGATGCGGACATCGTTGCGGGCACCCCCCCCCCCGTTTACTCCCGGAGCTCCGCCCACTGTGTTTGTTCGCCGTTTACTTCTATGTACAACAGCCCTTCCATAACAGCCCTACACACGCACGGAGCCCCTCACCGTTTCTTCTGCAGGATGGCGAAGTTCTTCTTGAACGTGGGGCTGATGAGCGCCAGCAGCTCCACCAGCGAGTGGGACAGGTGGCTGGGGGACGCCGACTTCGGGTTGAACACCTCCGCCGTGGACCTGGGGGGGGGGGTCATGGGGGTCACGGTGAGTAGCGGTGGCGGTGGAGAGATGTATCGCACGTTGACCTTCTGTCGCACCGCACGTAGCCAACCGTGCTAATCGGAGGTGAGGGGTGGGGAAAGACAACAAACTAAAACACTAAAAATGCAGTCCTGAAGAAATTACATTTAAGAGTGCATAGCTCCAGCGGCTTCCTAACATCGGAAGGAAGAGCGTTCCAGACGGCCGCGGAGGCGCATCCGAAAGCGCCACGCGACGCAAACGTGTCAAGCCGAGCAATGCGGACGAACCGCCAGCCCCCACCTGGCCCCACGACACCACCTCAACTCCCTCCCCTCTGTACTCAGCTGTCCCCACCCCCAATCCACCCCCAACCCATCCCCAACCCACCCCCACCCACCCCCACCCACCCACCCCCACCGCCAATCCACCCCCACCCACCCCCAACCCACCCCCAATCCACCCACCCCCAATCCACCCACCCCCACCGCCAATCCACCCCCACCCACCCCCAACCCACCCCCAACCCACCCCCAATCCACCCCCAATCCACCCCCAATCCACCCCCAACCCACCCCCAACCCACCCCCAACCTACCCCCAACCTACCCCCAACCCACCCCCAATCCACCCCCACCCACCCACCCCAACCCACCCCCAACCCACCCCCAACCCACCCCCAATCCACCCCCAACCCACCCCCAACCCACCCCCACCCACTCACCCCCACCCACCCCCACCCCCACCCACCCCCACCCACCCCCCCAACACGTACTGGTTGAGGTAGAATCCGCGTGTGGAGGCGGTGATGCTCACGTGGCGGTCCTCAGCCGTCACCACGTACAGGTACATGAGGTCTCCGTGCATGCGGCGGTTCCCCGGCGGGGGGTTCCAGCCGCTCGTCGTCAGCACCTTCAGGCACTGCAGAGGCTGCGTGCCGCCACCAAGCCGGGCCGCAGTGACAACACAAAAGACAGAGAGAGAAAGGTAGGCTCAGCAGACTGCAGGGGGCAAGTGATGCTTGCGTATGAAGGCCGGCACAGAGTTCGAAGAAGGGGTGGTGTGAGCGAGGGCGAGGCCCGATGTTCACACACCGCACCAGATATTCGTTTGAGGCCAAGTCGACCTAGGGGAGGCCCAAGGAACCGTTCAGATATTTGCCACGGATGTTGGCCGCAAGCGGAAATGGATCTCGGTTCACCGGAGTTTGTGATGTGGTGGATTGAAAACACACACGCACACCTCATTTCACAATGCAAACGCACGACAGGAAGATCCAGCATGCTTTGCGTGTCAAGGTGACTGCGTAACCATTCTTGCAGATATTCTACGCACAGCCTGCCATAGCCGCCAGTTCAGGAGCTCAAGGTGTAGCCTTTTGATTTTCAGCAGTAGAAGATTAATAGAAAGGCAACTAAATAGAAGCTCGACTATTATTACTCCTCAGTTATTTAAGTCTTTTCTTTTCGTTCTTTGGCAAATTGTCCTCATTAGCCACAAAGAGTGCTCGAATTTGCCAAGCGGCGAGTCACCACGGGCTCCGTCACCAAGTTACGGCGATACGACGCGCCAGGCGACCATCCCCGCTGCCAGCGAACAGGGCTTATAAAACGCAACAACAACAATGGACAAAGCCCAGTGTGTGTGCGAATATGGGTAGGGCACAGCCAGGAATGAAATTACTCGTGAAAGCAAGTTAACTCGCACCCGCCTTAATTTTTATACGTTTGTCCTGTGCAGCGGCAGTGGCTGTGGTCAGCATCAAGCTCAAGCACAGGCAGTGCAGTCTGGTCGGAGCCAAAGTGACTCCCTGCTCAAAATGTGCAAATGGCACGGCACCCATCTCCACTCGTGGACCCAAGCAAGTGACGGAAATTCGATATGCCTATGGCAAGGGGCCATATTCTTACGGTAGGATGACCTCCGTTAACTTCCCACAAGACGGTACTTAATTTACAAACCAAAGAAGAATGATGAGGATAAGTTGACTCCCCACCCCCCTCCCGCAATGGAAATTTGAAATCACGACCTAACTTTTGAATAGAGCAGTCCACCCTGAAAGAAAATTCAAGGGGCCTGCATTTTCAATTGCCATCCAAACCCCATTGAGCGGCTCTGCTCGCCGAATCTTCGACCGCCCAGCTCCCCAGCCGCCCACAGCAAGCGCACCGGTCAAGCACAGCGGGTTTTATCGTGCGGCGCGGCGCAGCAAGAGAGAGCCGCGAAGCGCAGCCAGCGGGTCTCGAAGGGGAACAGCGTCCGACGGCTTTCACGGGTGGCGGCACCTTGTAGTCTCGGGGCAGCGGCTGCAGGGGGCACAGCAGGCGTTCCCGCGAGCCCGGAAGGATGTACTCGGGAGGGGTGCAGTCCACGGACTCCGAGCCGGCCTGCTCAAAGCCTGGGCGGCGCTTGCGACGCACGCCTTCCGCTGGAACGAAAACCACAAACAGTCTTCGTCCCCCACCCCGCCATAAACCACGCGGGCGGCCGGCTGAGAACTCCCGTTGCACGTGACCTGCTGTAAATGATTACCGACGACGCAAGGTGGGGCCGCCTCGAGTCTCAACCCACCACACCCCCCCCGCCCCCCCAGCGGCACGTCGTATCCTCCTTCAGCCGAGTCAAACTGGTAGGGGCCTAGTGCACGCCGTGGTCCCGACGGTCTCCATTCTACATCGGGAACGACAGGGAGCTGCGAGGATCGTGGCGCAGTGCGTGGTAACCGCAACCCGTTGCCGAGGGAGCACACCACCACGTACCGCGGCAAAGTTTTATTTTGTTGTGTTTATGCTCAAGTAAAACATTGTGCGTTCGTCCTCAATTAGTTGCCACCATAGTTTGGAGGGCAGCGGAAACACTTCGAGCTATAAAATGGCAAGGCAAGATTTTCTCATTTGTAAATTTGCCATGAAAATTAAACAAAAATTGTCCAGACTAGGGTGTCCGAATAAAATAGATTAAATTAATTTTTACTTGGTGAAACAGGATATTGTGTATTCTTAAGTTGCTTTGTCATGTTTAATTATCACTGTTTATTCCAAAATAAGCATCACGAGGGCTTCTTGAATATGACAAATCGTATTTAAACCAATTTCTGGAGTCCTTTTTTTTAATACCCGTGCAGTGCTGGCCATGGCTACATTAAGTGCAAACCGTCCACGTCAACCCGATTCAGTACAACGACAACAACAACACGCACACGAAGGCCCTTTTCCGTTTAAAGTGTCCGTCGTCCACATTGCCCGACTCGCCCAGTTTTTTTTTTATTCCCCAAAAGTATTTTGTTATTAACAAGACGAATCAGGTACACAACACAGAGGATATGAAAAGGGGGTTGTGAAACCAGCATAAACCACACAGTTTGGATTACAGTGTAAATGGAGACCTGTCTAAACCGCAGGTTTCAATAAACTCTACAAGACCCTGGTATCTTCCTAAACTCTGAAACCCCTGAAGGAAAAGGGAAAAAAGGAGGCGGGGGGGAAGTTGGAGTGCATAAATGTCATCATGAATGCTCTTAAGAATCAATGCCCACTGCAGGAGAGATGGTCAAGGAATTCCATGTTTGCTGGTAAGCTTCCTCCCTGCCCTCGGTTTTGCACTCAGATGCTCTAGAGCGGCAATTTTTGACAATTTATCGGCCCATTCCTGCAGTGTTGTGGGGGGGGGGGGGGGGGGGGAGTTGCGCGCCCTTTCCAGTTGGATATAATGGTGCGTTTTGCTATAACACTGAACATTTGGAACAATGTATATGCCTTCTTGGTTCTTTTGGTAAAGTCACAATACAATTCTCACGACGTTTCAGCCACAACGCAAGCAGCCGTCCCTCAGGTGAAGAACAGGGCTGTTGGAAAGACAGCGTCCGAATGAACGCTGCCAAGCTTGGCAGCGTATATTTAAGCTGGGTTAGCGGAGGGGAGTGCCTTGACAAAGGAATTTACATATCAACAGAGGCATTTAGCATATTTATGGAAAATGCTTTTTATTATTATTTCCCTTCTACGTGACTTTACCGAAAGAACCAAGAAGATGAATCCCTGCAGTCACGAAAGCTTTAAATCGAAATTTATTTTCCGCCATGGAAAGGCCTTGCTGCCCCCCAGGGGTTTTCATCTCCCCGCGTGCAGCACCGGCGGGCGAAGCCCTCGGCCAATCGGAGGTAGCGACCCGACCCCCCCCCCCCCCCACCGCACCCCGCGGGCCCCCCCCCCTTACCGGCCACGTCCCCGTCAGTGACGGCGTTGAGGAAGGACAGCGAAACGCCGTCCTGCCCGTTGTAGGCGTCCGAGAGGTCGGTGCTCTTGAGGAGGTCGCGCACGTGACGGAGATGGATGCGCACTTCCCGGATGGTGTACGGCTCTGCGCGGAGCGCGGGGCACGGGGCAGCGGTACAGGGGAGGGAGGTGGGGGGGGGGGGGGGGGAGGTGGAAGGGGGGGGGCGAACGGAACAACGACCATCACCGAGCACGTTAGTCAGCGGCTCCGGGCAGCGGTTGGCTGCGGTACGGTGCCAACGAAGTTCAACGTACGGTACATGCATGCAATTCGGCATGGCAACCGCCAGCAAAACAATGCTTTGAATTATTAATTTTGTGATGCTGCGTTGGGGGGCAGTAGTGCGCGCAAATTGTCCTTTGCGTGCTACGGAGAAGGGCGATTGCCCGAAACGTTGCTTAATTTGCTTTTATCTCTTTAAAGGCCACAGTGTCAGACGATTTCTTGAATTTTTAGCGATGCAAAATTACATTGATAATTTATTTTAAAAAGACTTGTAAAATTCCACTGCAATCTCTAGATGCTGGGAAAGAGCTGGTCATGCACATCAGAGGGAGCAGTGGAGAATGACATTGTTTTAATTCTCCGCCGGTGTCACCGATTGGGTGATATCAGACAACCCGGCAGAAAAATGAGAAGATGGCTATGGAGAGGAGCGCCGAAGACATTTTTATCATAGGCAGGAACACAGAGGGGTCTCTCTTCATGTAGCCTCGCAGAATACCGCACTTTGCATCTGTGGGGTAAGCTAATGAACATCAGCCCCAGTGAACTAGGAGCATTGTCAGTGTGGATGGGGACAAACGACTGCTCCATTTTCTTCCAGTTTACCTCTGCGTTCACACACACACACACACACCCGCAATTATGTTTCACGTTTTGACCTCAAAACGCTTCACCGCGTTGAAACGAGCGTGGGCCCACCTTTACGCGTCGTGCCGAGGTGACGGATCCCACAGCCTGGGCCTAGGTCGTCACGCGACTTACCCACCCAACAGCGACCCACCGCGGCCAACGCTGCGGTTGGCAAACATAGGCGAGAGTGACCGAGTGTGAATGTGAAGAGGGAAACGGGGTGGGCCTGGCGTGGTGCTGGCCACCCACCCACCCTTTGACGTGCCGTGCCGGCCTTCATAGCTGTTCGCTAACAGCACTTGCTCCAACAGTCTGTTAAAGGTTATACAGGGGATCTTTGTCTTTGTCTCGGTCAGTAAAGCCATGGAACCTGAGCCTGTCCCGTAAGCTCTTACCTGCGGGCGTTTGACACTTCACGTGGCTTTCAAAGTGCACACTGCCTGGCACAAGCGCTGTGGTGACGTCACCGCCACAAGCGGGCGCTTGTGCCTAGCGCCCGCTACTTTACGACACCTCAGAAGGGCCGGTATGTTGGAGGCAGACAGCTGTGCCCGTGCTGTCGGGTGAAATCTACCTCTGATGTACTGGGGTGCACCATACCACCGCATGAAGTTTTAACACCGCCAATTCCCCATGGCCCAAAAGCTTCCCAATTTACAATAAATTACATTTAATAGCTCGACTTAATTATAAAACGAAAACGTCCTTAAGACACCTAGCAACTTGAAATAATTCGTAAAGATATAAAAAAAAAACCTTCCAATTCACGACACTGCACTGTAGTTAATGGGTCCTGCGATTCAATACTGGACTTCCATTGGTTCGCGCCCGGCCAAAACTCCTGACGATGCCACTCGCGTTCCGATTCAAGACGCTCCGAGAGTGCGGCCCCAGAAACGGTCGCCCCTGAAACCGCCACGTCTCACGCCGCCAACCACCTTGACGCGGGGGGGGGGGGGGGGGGGGGGGTGAGGGGGCGCCCCGGCGTTCCCACACACACAAGCCCTCGCGCCGGGGGTCTGCCCGGGCCTGCCTGCCGCCAGCGTCTGCGGCCGCGTGACGGGGGAGGAACGCTCAAGAGATGACGAGCTCGACGGCCGCGTCGAGGGGACTTGCCAGCGTGCCCCCCCACCCCCCACCCCTCACCCGCACCGCCAGTCACGCCGTCAGCATCCGAGTCCGCGAGCTCCCTAGGGGCTCCAGTTCGGCGTTCACAAGTCATCTCTGTCGAGCTCCCCTGGCCCCTTTGATTGCCAGTGGCGCAAAGGCCTGCTTGGGCGCGTGCAAGCGCTCGCGCAAAGAAATTCTCGCAAAGAGCTCCGTCCAAGAGATTTCTACGAGCGAGCCAAGCGGTGGCGTGCAGCCAGTGGGTGGCGTCGGGGTGGGCGACGAACACACTTTAAGAAGCAATTGTGGAGGACGTCAGATTCAGCCGCTTAAAATCGAGCATGAGATAAGGAAATATGAATGAGCCTTTGGTGCGCGTGTGTACAGTATCGTGTCAAGAGCACCTCTGCGGTGACACGGGGATGAGTGTGCGCGCGTGTGGGCGTGCGTTTCAAATTATCCTTTGACAGCGGTTTTACAAGCAAGGTGGCCCACTTTTGTAGTTGGAATAATGCCGCTTTACCGCCGCTGATCGATCGGGCCATGGGGGAGGGGGGCACACAATGGCCAACTATTGTGAAGTGGGCATTGGGATCTTTAACGGACGGTGGCGTTGCCAACGAGGTGACCGCAGCAAACTGGGAGAGAGGGCTTTTAAAAACAAGGAGCGAAGACGGAACTAAATATCCCGACACTTGCACAACCTCGTCATCAGACTGGACGCAATTGTTCCATGGGCCGGCCGCGAATGCTCCCTCTTTCTAGGCCAGAGGGCATCGTGAAGCTCATTAAAAACCCGGCGAAAGAAATCGAGCTCCCTTTCCCCTGTCGCAGGATAGCACGATTATACACGCATCACACCGAAAAAGTCATTCCAAGGGCTCTCGAAAGCACGTCCGTGACAGCCTTCCTGGGGCTGCTCTCTCTACAAACACACAGGGGCGAGGCGGCAATGCTTGCTGCAAGAGTTTCCAGTACGAGCATTTTTTTCATCTCGTCACATCGTGCCGGCTAACGTGATTGAAATAAATTTGGGGAAACCAAAAAAAGGCTGAAAGAAAAAAAAAGGAGCTGCGTCGAATTTTTTTTTGGCGCAAGGGTCCTTCCACACTACGGCTTGGATAGCTGCCCGAGGACCCCTTTAAGAGTGCCTGAAAGACTGTAGCTGGCAAGCGCCGGTTGGGGGAGGGGGCAGGAGATTGCTCGCCTGTGGATTACGTAGGTGCCAACATTTAATGCAGAACAAAAAACCAAATCGACTGCCTCCAGAATACTTCCCGCAAATAGGTCAAGGGTCATGGCCATGGGTTAAGTTCGCCAGGGGCTAACGACACGAGCCGGACTGCGAAGTGGCCAAGAGATTGGTGGTACAACAAACGGGTTCCCAAGCAATATTTAAGAATTTTGAAATTATTCCGTCGTACACTTGGGTTTTCTCCAGGTACCTGGCAAAAGTGGAACATGGAAGCCCACCTCAAATTGTAGGACCCTCCTGAATCAAAAATTCCCATTACATTTGAAGGCAGAATGGTCCGTGAAGGCAATATGGCAAGTGTATGGGTCTCTATGCATGTATCTGCTTCTCTATGCAAGTCTATGGGTCATATCAGTGTGCACGAGCCTGTGTGTCCATATTCAAAGTCTATAGCCATCTATGTCAGCATGGTGGACGTGACTCAAGAAGCTGACACAGACTAGAAGAGAATGTATGTATGCTGAACTTCTTTCGTACCATACAGTGCAAAATATCCCCCAGTATACCCTTAACGGACCTTTGGGGCAAGTACCGTTCGAGAGCACCTATAAAGGCCAACACGGCACACGAGAAAGTGGGTAGCCAGCACCACGCCTGGTACACCGTAAATAACAATCTCCATTCGCCACTAAGTGGCAGGTGACGTCACCACAGCGCTTGTGCCAGGCAGTGTGCTCTTTTACGACCACGTGAAGTGTCAAACGCCCGCATGGTAGGAGGTCACGGGACAGGCTCAGGTGCCATGGCTTTACTGACCGAGACAAAGATCCCCTGTATAGCCTTTAACAGACTGTTGGGGCAAGTGCTGTTAAGCGAGCACCTATGAAGGCCGGCACGGCACATGAAGGGGTGGGTGGCCAGCACCACGCCGGGCCGCCTTCGCCTCACTAGTTGCAATGTTTACACACCTGCACCGGGTACTCATTGGAGGCAGAGTCAACCTAGGAGAGGCCCAGAACCGGTTCAGATAATCGTCACCGGTGTTGGCCCGTGAACGCGAGCCGAACTCGGGTCGCCGAGTTCGTGGCGCTAACCGCTACACCACCGCTCCCCGTCACCGACTGAGATGACGCACAAAGACACGCACGCGCGGACGGCATCCTCTCGCTCACCTGACCCTGTATCAAACAAAATCAAAACACAAAACCACCCCGGGCAAAAACGATTCTCATCTTACATCAAGGGGCTACATAACGGAGCGAGACAACCAAAACAGCTGACTCTACGCTGCGGGGTGGCGGGGGTGGCGGGCAGAGGGGGGAAGAGGAGGAGGTCGCTCACCCTCGACGACGCGCAGCAGGGAGCCCTCGCCGAGCCCCTCGACGGCGCGCAGCTCCGAGTAGGCGTCGAGCGCCGCGCCGTCCAGCTGCAGCGAGAAGCAGGTGCGGTGGCAGCTCTCCTCGCGGTCCATCAGAACCTGCTGGATGTCCTGCACCAGCTCCTGCGACGACACCTGCCGTGGCCCACGCGCGCGCGTCCGATTAGCGCGGTCGGCGATGTATGGTGCGCGAAAGTTGTCCGTACGTCGTGGCGATGATGATGATAACACAGGCGACGGAAGCTTCGCTAAGCGAGGGGGAGGGGGGGAAGACTTTGCAAAGGGACTTGGAAGGTGTCGCCACCTTAGCGGCAGCACTGTGCGGCGACGTATTTCTTTCAAGGGTCGGAGGTCGGCGGTCACTGCGTAGTTTCTTGTACTATTCGTGCGCATGACGCCAGCAATATGTTCAGGAGTCAAGGCCTGTTAGCCACGATGAGAGGGCTTGCTTCAGGAGCGAGAATTCGTGTAGTTTTGCTGCTCTTCCTGCACCGAAGGAGCGCAGGCCACGGCGGTTTGCTCCATATTCTTAGGTTTTTTCGGTAAAGTCACGTAGGTAAAACATCAAAATTAATAAAAATAAAATAAAACAAAGATCACGACGTCAAAGATCACGTCCATCCTGTTGGTTGCGTGGTCGCAATGCCACCGTGGATCGTCTTCAATTTTACATTCGTGAAGGAGATGCACGCACGGGCCTGTTTATAATGTGATGCAGTTGATGGTCACACCACCAGTGTCTTCGAGGAATGTTAAAGACAGGAGGGTGCGATGTTTGGGTCTCGAACTGAGGTGTTGATTCGGGATTTCCGCATTGTTGGCCGAGATAGTTGGTGGCCGGCAATGAAACTGGGGCAAGGCGTATGCAGTGATGTTCTGGAACGTCCCTGGTTGATGCTGGAACAGTTTGATAAACTTTATATATAAAAAAAGTCACGTTAACAAGTCAAAGACAATATCACTATTGCCTCCACACCAAATCATCAAAATAGTCCTTCCTTCCTCTGAATTCCACGAGGTTTTGCGATACTGATTTGCAACTTCATACAGGTCTGCTCTTGTCGCATCTCACCATCCGGATGTAACGACTGCCCTTTGATCCTTCATCCCTGGGTGTCAACTCCAACAAGGTATAACACCGTAAGCAAATGTTAATTTGGTATTAGGAAGCGATTAAGGATTATTGTCAGAGATGCCCTGCCCATAGCGATAAAGCGCTTTTAATTCAGAATTATAGCAATCACTGAGAGTCATTTTTCTAATTGCCTACGAAACGTGGTGACGACGAAACCGATACACAACGGCCTAAGCTTGTGAACGACGTCAAAGTGGCTTCAAGGGAGCACTCGGCAATTAGCTACATTCGCTCATCGGATTCCTCCCCCAGGTCACCAAATAAAGATTCTCTCATTCCGATTCTGCTTTGCTGGAGCATTCAAACAGGAGCCCTCTTCATTAGGATGCAGGAAATCCGACGATGACCACAACTGACACGTATTCACCGTCAAACATCAACTTCAATTTGAAATACATGCCAACTCATGAAATGTTCGTCCCTTTTTTTTTCGTTACCGCTTTTCATAACAGCTGTTGCGAAATGTCTACTGTCGGTAAATTGGACGATCGTGACAGTTTCGGCAAGCCTGCTTTGGATCGTCAACGCGTGTACTTTATAAAGACGTGAACATTTATTCTAAAATTCTAGTTGAGAATAGATAGTTTTCTGATTGTGAGCATTCCAAACAAGGACAATTGAAGAGGAGACTCCAATAGGCATCCACACAAAGGGGTAGTGAAACTCTGAGCAATCGTAGAACGTACACAGGTTAACTCGCATAAAGAAAGCATTTCATATCACACACACACATTTGCCTATGACCAATTCATCCGGGATATACCCGATCTTGTCACATCTCAGAAGCCAAGCAGAGCCGAGTCTGGTTAAGTGCTTGCACGGGTGACCACCAATGCCAAACAGGTAGTCGTAGGAGTGCAGGGGCCTACATCGCAGGAGGCAACAGAGGGAAGCGACATCCATTGTTGTACTGTACTTCTATACTGCCGTGTAATACTGCTCCAAGCCTTCACCAGCCCACACTGAACAGAGTGGTGAAGTGCTGCCAAAGAGCCCCAAGGACCCACGTGGAATTGGGAGGCCCTATATCCAGCAGTGGATGCCCCAAAAGGACCTACACATGGATATTGTATGAATGTGTTTACAGCACGGCGTTGCATGTAAGAGGCGTGTAAATGCAATTTAGCCAGGTGTCACATTGGCAGGGGAGGACCTCCTAAAATACCCGAGTACACAGGAAACTACCCGCACGCACACAAGAGTGAGAAAATTAACCCGTTAAACGTGCTGCCGGAAACCCAGGACGATCACCAAAATAAAAACACTTTTCATAACGCAAGTATTGCTGGGTTTCCGTTAACAAGTAGGAGATATATAAAGCTAATTATTATAAATAAAGATTCACCTGTGAGTGTAAGGTACATTTTCCGGAAGGATGCAAACATTAGTTTCAGTCCTATTAACTTAACAATGTTTTTACTACAATTTTCGTCACCTATTGGGAACACAGCGGCGACGTGGGAAAACCCGGAAAAAATTGTAGTGCATCCGTTTTACAAGCGGAAAGGTGCGTTTATAAAGACGCCAGAAAAACAACAGAAAACGACGCCGATGGTGGTACGCCAGAGGTCGCAACCGGGTACCCGATACCCGTACCCTACCCGATACCCGGCTACCCGTACCCAGTCAGGTACGGGTACCCGTTTGCGACCCTGGTGCGGCCGGGTACGGGTATGGGTAGGCCGTGAGTCACTGGTGAGTCACCGTTTGTCACTCATTTCCCAACGTCTTGTCTCTTCTCACAATTCAAGATCCTAGAATCAACCCACCCGCGCCTGCAACATGGCTTCATCCCAGAGGTCGCAATCGGGTACCCGTATCCGTACCCTACCTGATACCCGGCCGGGTACGGGTAGCCGGGTATCGGGTAGGGTACGGGTACCCATTTTCGACCCTGGTGTGGCCGGGTACGGGTAAGGAATCAAAACCCGTTTGCGAACCTCTGTGGTACGCAAGAACGGTGGCGACCGACGACGACCGTATTTTATTCCGCTGCCGAGTGCGAAGATGACGACGCTGACAATGCCGACGATGCCGGTGGCCGTCCCCCGTGGCGGACATCTTACCTGCAGCTCGAAGGGCTCCGATCCGGGCACGTGGATCTTGAGGGTGAAGACGCACTCCGGAGCCGGGTCGTCAGGCTGGGCCGCACTGGCGCCCGCGTCCAGGGCACCACCCCCCACACCGGCGGGAGCCGGCGCTCCCTCATTCGCGAGCGCCTCGTCCTCCCCGTGAGCTGCACACGAGTGGAGCAACGACAGCATGGCTCGGCCTCGCTTCGTACCGCTTCAAAAGAACAATCTTAAGACTCGCTCGAGTTTGGCGTTTCAACATCCAAACTATTTCACGCGACTGCTGCTGCTGCTGCGGTTGCAACTCAAGAGGTTTCTTATTGCGCCGTTCCCTGCCGATCTTCTTATCGCCCCCTCGACGAACACTCGGCACAGGTCGCACGAACTGCCGCACAGCGATGCCTTATCCCAGCCCCTTTGAAGGTGGGACTCTCCGAGCCGATCCGGAGTTGCGAAAGCGTCGATTTGTTTCCCGCTCCCCTCCCCCCTCTCTCTCTCGGACACTCGGTTGTTGTAAGTCGCCACACAAAGTGTAGCCCTCTTTCGTGGAACGCTTCCCAGGCTACCGAGATAAATTCTGCGCCGACGTCTCGGTGAAACGGAGCCCTCTCCGGCGAGCTGGGCGGGTTAAAAGGCGGAGAAGAAGAGAAAAAAAAAGCGGAGAACCGTGCCAAACCGAGGTCGCTTTGGCGACAGTTTTTTTAAGTCTGGTTCAAACGTAATGAACAAGAGTCATTAAAATAATTGAGAGGTAGTTTGCAACAGGCCGCTCAGAACGTCGGAGGGAAATCGGCCACAGAGGAGAGCGAAATGGGCACGGGGGGCGAGTCGATTATAAACGCGTTGGGGCGACTCCCTACAGCTCTCATCACACGCCTTACCTGCGGTGTCCATTTAATCTGCAAAATGAGGGCAGACTGCGTTTTTCCCTCGTGCGAGCCCGCACAGCCTCTCCCAAAGTGCGTTTATTAAAAAAATTAAACCGCTAATCTTCTGGCGGAGCTGCAAGGGTCACACTTAAAACACGGCCCCGGCCCAACAAGCTGCCGATCCCCTCAGGTCGACTGAGAGTATGAAAATACGATGGATAAACAAACGACGCGAGACCAGCCGACTTTCTAACTGAAAGCCATTGCCAACGAGGCGGTGATTTAATGAAGACGACGCCTATTGCACGAGTGGCACACTCCGGTCTAGCGACTTTCACCCCCTCAAATGCACGCCAACCTGTGCTGCACACACACACATAGCGGCTTTTATTTATTTATTTAGATACACATATATAAGTCCATCTCCCCGCCTCCTTACTCCACCCACAATCCCCAACTTTCTCTTGCCACCAAAAAAAAAACCACCCCACCGATGCAACTTGCGTGAGATCAGATCAACCTCTCCCCGACCCCTCCTTTTACTTTCAACTGAAGTTAAACCATTCTCTTTGAGCTTGGGTATTTATAAACGATGCTCGATTGTGTTTGCACGCAAACCCTCCCTCAAGCAGCCCCCGTCAACAATCAACAACACGAGGCTTAAAGTTATTTTCTGTCATCACCGCGTGCGTAGGGCAGCATCAACTCATTGGCCTGCGTTATTTGCGGCCTTAAAAAACGCACAACCTCGGCAGCCTATACTTACAAGAGCATTTGCACAGCAACGGGATAATCGCCGCACGACAGCTGTTATTACACGCTACATTTTGCGGTGTGACCCAGCTAAGTGGGGAACTGTTATCGCCACTGCAATGCACCCCCGTGCCGGGTTTTTAAGTTGAAATCATCTTAAAAATGGAACTTCTCAGTTAAAACGACGGCAACGACACAACGACGGGACCGAGAAGTTAATGTCATCCGTGGCGAGGAGCTGGCCAGACGACGCGGAAAAAGAAGAATTGTCGAGCAGCTTCTGAAAGAGCCCAATGCACTTCCTACCACTGCATATCATACGTAATGTGCTTTTAGGAGAACACCTGTCAAGACTTGCCATGGCACATGAGGTCATGGTGTGGGCCCCCAAATCATTGCGTCTCAAATTCAAATGTGAACTACTCGGATTACACATTGCCTAATTGTAAAGAAATATTTTACGTTTATTACATTACATTTCCCTCCACCTTGTCAAATAGCCTTGATGAGCAGTTACATGGAGACGCTTAATAATAATAAGCCTAAACAGTTTATCGTTGGCGAGCTTCATTTACATGACCAACGACTTGAAAAATCGACCCGTTGTTGTGGCTTGGCATCAAATCGTGGCGACTTCATCCACCGTGCAGCCACCAAAACGCATCGTACAAAGACAAAAAAATCCCCTCCCAGAAAGCCTTAACATGCTGTTGGGGCAAGTGCCGTTAGCGTGCACCTATAACGGCCGATACGGCACACGTGGAAGTGGGTGGCAAGGACCACTCCCGGCCGCCTTTGTCTCCCTCGTGGCGATATTTAAACATCGCACCACGTACTCGATTGAGGCCGAGCCACCGAGGGGAGCTCTTGGACCGGTTTAGATAATCGTCACCGATGTTGGCTGCGAGCGGAAATCGAACCTCGGGTTCGCAGCGCAAGCGCGCTAACCGCTACACCCCCCCCCCCACTCCCAACTAAGGATTGACGCTCGCACACACACACTCGCTACCGCCGAAATCCAAGTCAGGCGAGGCTGAAGGTGAAGCGTTATCGTTCCGCTGCTTGGCGGTCACCGAGAGGGGGGGTCGCGGTGCGGGGGAGGGACTGCGAGGGGAGGGCGTGGATGCGCTGCCGGGCGAGTCGGGATACGCACATGCGCAGCGGCGGCAGTTGCACCGTTTCGCCCCGGGGACAATTTTTTTTTAAGTTTGTGAAAAAAAAATGTGCAGTTGGAATTCTCCTTTCTTTGTTTCGTCAAACGCGTTGCTCAAGCCGAAAGCGGAGTGCGCGCGCGATAAAGGCCACAGGCATTCCCCTTTCTGGCAAAGCGGCTTTCTAAAACATTCTCCTCGTGCTCCCGCGTTGCCTTGCAGAAGCTGGCAAGTCCGCACACGACAATGGCTCTTCCTCCACGACTGCAGCTCGCGGACACAGCAAAAAAAAACACCCCCCCCCCCCTTCACCATTCATCAGCAGCACAATACGTCGAGTGTGAAACTTGATTACTACTGATGGAGGTAGCCGGTGCCTCCTCCGTCGTTCCTGGGCTCTACTGGCCCAGGATTGCCCCGGGGGGCTCTCTCTGGCCCAGCAGCAGAGCCCACAATCCATAAGCCATGAGGCTCTGTGGGCCCACCACCCACACATCACCCACCTACCCCCCACAATTTCAATCTGTAAGCGGTATTTAAAAAAAAAAAACCACACCAACACCGCTGGCTTTGACCCCATTTTCCATTGGCAACATCCCAAGCCGTGCCATCTTGTTGGGGGCCCCTCAGCACGTTCGGAGTGCTTTTTAACCCCCCCACTGCCTATTTGCCAAACCGAGCCAAAAACCAAACCGTGATACATTGGCTTCATAAAATACATCAGAAGCTGGTTCAGAGCCAAACAGAGGGAGGGGCATGGTTAATAATAATCATCATCATGCATTTGGCACGTGCGACTCCGACGTCGCAGCTTTCATTGTGCGCGACATAAAAATCGGCACGGCTACAGAAATGCAGTGGGGGAGGCTGGCTCAGCACGGCCCCAGCGCAGCACAGTTGTGCAGTGGAAAAAGTTATTAGCACAGGTCACAATGAGGGGGAGGGGGGGCCTTGGTGCCAACCACCATGGGGGGGTTTAACCTGCGATGGTTGGACATGGGGAACGTGGGCTCTCTTGGGCCTAACCCACCAAGCCAACCCCCATTCCCAACGGGCTGTGGAAAAGGGGCCTTGGGGTTACCGTGGGGAGCGACACGGCCATTTGGACACCGAGCTGGCAAAAAGCAGGGCCTAGCATCGAGCCTGGAGTGGGTATTAAAATGTCGAACGGTTTCACATTTAAAACAAGTTCCACCATGGTCACCGATCCAGGTCACTAATAGAGCACAGATTACACTCGCATGCGAAATAGCCCAGCTGTGAATACCTTACGTAATATAGTATGCCGAGCTAAAGTGAGCGATTCATCTACGCAGCTGAATAAAAGGCTGTGATTATGGCAACGGTAACAGCAGAGCTGTAATTCAGCGGCGTCTCTTCCAAAGTTACTTCCCAAAGAAACAGCACAGGGATTGCTTTTGGTAACACAATCTGCACAACTGTCAAGATAATACTCTTATATAAGCGCACAACTTCATCTGTGATGAACGCTGCACTTTCCGTCGCTTTCATGCAGGGGGCGCTGCAAACCTACACGCCCCCTGCATGAACGATGGAGGCGCAGGGACAGACGTTCGATTACGTTGGAATCGATCTGCAGACGGCGGTCTTCTCGCACGGCCAGCAGCTCTATGTCGCCTTATCTCGATCCCGCAATCCCAAACTGGCGAAAGTCCGCATCGAACCGAAACCCCAGCAAGGCCATCTACTTAACGACGAGAGAATTCACACGAAATGTCCTTTTCAATTAAGTCTTCCAGATGTAAAATGATTTCAGCTTTTAATGAAGAAATACAATTATCTAATTAAAAACGTAATACAATTCAAAGAGGTTTAATTTTAAAACTTCTAAAACGGAGCATCGGGAGCTTGCGTGAATGCGTCGTTCGTGTCCACATTTTTTATCGTGACTTCCCTGGCTGAAGGCCGTAAATCGTTGTTCAGGGGCACCATTGGTACCCCCGAACAACCCCGAGTAACCAAATAAAGCGTTATTCAAAAAACGATGCCAAGTGCGAGATGATGGTCCCTTGCAAGACCTGAGACACGGAGGACAGTCCCTTGCAGACCAGAGCCACTGAGAAACTGAGACACGGTCCCTTGCAGACTAGAGCCACTGAGAAACTGAGACACAGTCCCTTACAGACCAGACAATGGAAAAAAACCATCCCTGCATGTGTAATCACTACACGTCCTCTATTTTAAAAACAAGCACAGGTGCAGCCTTGAACACACGATAAGAATGACGTCGGGCTGCTCCAAACTTCCGCCCCCCCCCCAACGAGATTCATTTTGCCGGCTTTCACCAGCCCTGCGACCTTCATCAGCGGCGGAGGCAACATGCTGCGGCGCACTCGGCTCATCCGCACTCCGTTGCCATTCGTAGTACTCGCGTACGGCGAGAGGTGTGTGCAACCACGGTCGTAACGCAGACCGCGATATTGAATCACGGCTGTGACAATATTTAATACCAAAAAAATTGAGTGCGGTACCTCAAAACACAGTGACAATGCAGGGTATAGACTCCAAAATCGATTACGTACAAGCGTGCTTATCAGACCCCCCCCCCCCCCCCCCCCGAGAGCCAACCGCATCAAACGTGCCATTTTTATCAAAACCAGCGTCGGATCGAATGGACTTTGCCGATATGGCGACTAACATGAACGTATAAATTAATTGCAGTCTTTTTCATGAAGTGGAACTCATTTTAGCGAAATCAGGTTGAAGGCAACTCAGAGCCAAAAATGTGCACACGCGCCGCTTTCAATCACGACTCAAATGCTGCTCCAACGACAGCAAAACAAAGATAAAGATCCTCCCTATAGCCTTAACAGACTGTCGGGGAAAGTGTGGTTCGCGAGCACCGATTAAGGCTCACACACGGACAAACGGAGGGGTGGCAGGCATAAAGCCCGACCCGCCTTTGTCTCCCCAAGTGGCGATGTTTACACACCGCCGCACCAGGTACTCCGTGTGAAGGCCGAGGTCGATCTCGGGAAGGCCCAGGGACCGGTCCAGATCATTCGTCACCGGCGTTGGCCGTGAGCGGGAACCGAACCTCGGGGCTCGCCGGGTTCGTAGCGCAGTGCCGCCGGGCTAACTTCGCTACTACCGCTTCTCACCAACTTCAGCAACAACGCATCCACTACGCGCAGCTCGATGTCAAGCAGGATGGGTAAGAAGCACAAAAAGGGGACGAGTTTTCCCCCCCCACTGCCGATTTGCCAAACCGAGCCAAAATCCAAACCATGATACATTGGGCTTCATAAAATACATCAGAAGCTGGTTCAGAGCCAAACAGAGCGAGGGGCATGGTTAATAATCACAATCATCGTCATCATCCATTGGCATCAAGCCGCTGATCCCGAAAACGGTCACCAAGGTGGCGCTGCTTTCTCTACGATGTTTCAATGTGCCAGGCAGTTCGGCGGGTGTGAAATAATAAACGTCGGGGATAAATTGCTCGACACGCAGCAAAAAACACTTTGCACGGTGCCCGAAGGCCAATTACGTCCGCGAGCGAAGGAGGCCGCAGCGAAGGTTCTTGTCCCGTCTATTTCAGCCGCACAATTGCCCAGCGCTTTTGCAAAATACAACCGCGGTCACTTTTTTTTTTTAAGGTCGCGATCGACGTCGACCGCGCCGACCAAAACCGACGACTTCATTCATCGCGAGCGAATTATCAATTTAGCGGATCGGGGATCGCGGTCATTCTGAACAGGAGCGTGGAGAGATGGAAGCTGGGGACAGCCCTTGTAAAAAAGGGACGCAAAGGAACTTGTGTGGGATACGAAACGAACCAAACCGTAGCCCCACCCTCCACCACTTCGAGCGTCGATAGGAGAAAAACAAAAAAAGTTATTTGGCTTGTTTCACAGAGCCGCAGGCAGCCGAGGAGCTATGCGTCACAGTTAACCTGTGGGAGGCGGTGGGCTTATATAAACTAGTTTAATTCACTCCCCATAGAAAACAAACAGGACAATCTAAGGAGTTTTCAACAACACGGGAGGGAGAAATACTGGAAAGACAACAATATATAAGTGTGTATGCAAATGAGATTACAAGTTTAATTCTAACAGTACTCGAAAACCATCATTGTCAAAGGAAGACAGGCATACATAGATCCATCCAGACATGCATCCCTTGAAAATACAAACGTACATTTTTAATGTAACGTCACCATCACTCTCAAGCATCGACACGCCCACTCGCGACACATCTCCGTGACAACACTCTTAGCGGGCATCACTCTGGATGGAGCATTGCGCAACACACACCACCCCCTCCCGTACCTTTCCTGTAAGAGGCTGCCCGCCTTCTCTTCCGCTTCCTCTTGGCCTTGCCCCCTGCAGGTGGCAGCAGAGACGGCTGCGCCGCGTCACAGCGAGCGGGGGAGCGACGGCGGCCGTCCCGATCCGCCGCCGCCGCCACCACCGAGGTGTCCCCCAACGAGGGCACCGAAGGAGCGCGCCGCCACCCGTCGCGCGACCCGACCAGACCCGTCAAAGCGTCCCCGCCCGTCGCCACCGCCGTGGCCGCCGCGTGCCCCCCAAGGACCGGGCCTCCCGCAAAGCCGCCCATCTTCTTCGCCAGCGGCGTGGCGAGGCGAGGCGCGCACGCGTCGTCACGCTGGCACCTGGCCGTGGGACACTGCTGCAGGTTGGGGTAGACCTGCCAGCGGTCGCAGCGAGCCAGGTCCAAGTCCTCGGCGTCGTCATCATGGACGACGTCATCGTCGTCGTCCTCGAACGGCGCCCTCCCCTCCAACGAGTCGCCGCCACCCTTGTAGGATCTGCGCCGGCAATCGTCGGCAGAGCACGGTTCGTAGCCCCCCTGCGTGACGTCACAAAAGACGGCGGAGCCGTCGCGCGAGTACGCCGTCGCCGGGTCCAACCGAGGCACGGCGCTCGACGGCCGCGCGAACGCGGCGCTCTCGCAACAGCGGCCCTGGCCGTCGCCGTACGAGTCGGTTGGCCGCCCCTCGTAGCAGCCTCCTCCCCCGTCCTGGTCTTTGTTGATGCAGCTGAAGCCGCCGTGGCAATGTTGATTCATCTGACAGCATGCCGGGTCAAAGAAGCCACAGGACTGCATGTCGGCGGCGTTGACGGCGGATTTTTGAGGACGGTTCATGTTCTGATCTCCGAGGAAACCCGGGTCTCCCGCGGCGCAGTAACTCGTGGGACTCAGGAATGCCTCGTACTTTTTCGCGGGGGGATTCTCAAACGCTTGCCTCCACTCCTGCATCGCCTGGTAGTTGTTCTGCGCGAAGGGATTGTGCTCCACCGCGCGATGCGACGCGTTCCGAAACTCCATCCTGCAGCGCAGCGCCTGCGAGTTGTCCATGCCGCACGGCTGCAAAAACTCCGGCGCCGAGGCCGCCATGCCGTACGAGCACGGCTGCGTGCCGTCCCCGGAGCAGTGCGGGGGGGGCGGCAGCAGCTCCGCGCCACCGCAGAAGGGGTTTGCGGCGCCGTACACGTGGGACGTTCGGCCCAGAGACGTCTGGCGCTCTGCGGGAGGCCTCCGCGAGAGGAAGAACGCTTCTTCGTAGTCGTCAAAGCCACTTTCTTCGTGCGCCAAGATCCGGTCGGGTTCCTGGTGGCGGAGCGACGAGTCGCCCACAAACGGATTCGTGTCCCTCAGAAAAACACCGCCGCCTCCCCCACCGCCGCCGCCGCCGCTCCTCCTCGACGCTGCGCTCCGCACCACGTCCGGCATGCGCCCCAGCGGCCCTCCCGCGGCCTGCTCCCCACTCGTGGGCCGAACACCGTCAGCCGTCCCCACCTGTGAAGGACACGCGGGCAGCCGGGCCGCACGGGTAGCCGCCGCCGTGCGCAAGGACGCCGGCTCCTGCTCCGTTACCGCCGCTGCCGCAGACGCTGCACTCCCACGGCCCGGCAGCGGCGGCGCACGCCGAGTCCTCCCGGCAGCAGCCACCCCCAACCACAAAGCCTCGCAGGTCCGAGGAGCCGTGCAGCGCGTACTCCGGAGGGAAGTCGCCCAGCATGCCGCGCTTCAGCCGACGCCCGCCGTGAAACGCGGGCCCCTCCACGACGCAGCCGCCGTTCGCGATGTCGCCGCCGTAGCCGGAGTTGAGAATACCCCCCGGGGACTCGAAGACTGTGGCGTGTTCCGGCGAGCCGTAGCGCGGGGACGCTGGCGCCGGGGAGCCGTTGGACAAGAGGGACACGGTCTCTTGGTCCGGACGTCGCGAGGACGACGACCAGCGCACGCAGCAGGAGAGCACGTTGCCCATTGTGGACCGGCGCGCGTCTGCAACTTGAACCCCCCCCCGCCCCCTCAGGTAGGGCTCGACTGCGGCTCCACGCAAGGGGTCGACCAGAAGACCACTATTCCTATTTCATAAACACCGATGAACTGCCATCACTCTCAATAGGGAAAGGTCGATCGTGATCACCTTTCACAAAACCATCAAATCAATATCCAGAAGCTGCACTTGTAAAACAGGAGTAAATTGGACGTTGCATTTTTTTGCAAAATAAAAAAAAAACCCCATCAGAGGTACCGACTTCCTGTGCGTTTATTAGACTTTTTTTTTACAACCTATACAAACCAATATGATTTAGTACAGCTAAGTATTTAGTAAAGTTTTAATAAAATCCCGCATGTGGTAAATCGTAGTAGATATTGCCGTAACCAGCAAATGGTTCACAACGGAAAAACTCGCAGAATCATAGGCCGATCGCTTGCAAACAAAGCAAGGCTGATCCAGATTTACAGAAAGCGTCGATTCCTTTCATAACGACCAATCTGCATAGCAGCACTGTCAGCGGTTCTCCTGCTGCCGACTGCGCTTCATTTGCAGATTGTCTCACTTGACACATTATTACATTTTACGTGCTAATTATAGGAATTAGATTAAAACAGTTCATCGGACCATTTGAGCGACTACACACATATATATGCTCGGATTTCACAATCGTCATGCGACGGATTACAAAAAAACACACGTGTATTTTTAATTTCAAAATCGGCGATTAATCCTGAATCTCGAAAGCACTTGCATTAAGAAAATCAAAAGAACAATACTGATCGAGACTGCTCCTTAACAGGGCACCGATGCAGCCACTTATCTGCGCTCGTCGTTTTCCACCGAACTGCTGCAGCACCACCGAGCGATAGCGGGCACGGGGCGGGACGAGAACGAGGCCGCTGGCTGCGCTTAAAACCACACAGTCGAGCGAAACCATGCTAGATTCAGGCTTTGTGTCACGCTCCCGCAGGCGCTGCGTTTCATCCTCTCCTGAGAACCCAGACGGAGGTCCGACGCCGCCGACGCCGCCGCCGCCGCTTGCTGCTGCTGCAGTGTCCGGTCCGTCACAGGGAACGGCGTGGAGAACCACGCGGAGTGGATGGTGGTGGGGGGGGGGGGGTGTTTGTTGGCGCGAGCCTTAACCTCGCACGTCCCGCAGGCCGCGGCGAGCCCGCTGGGACACCAGCGCCACCGGCAGACGGTCAAACTTCATGGCGGTCACGCGCAATTTTGTATTCCTGGCTCCGCGCTTGCCGATTATCCACAGCGGCGACGACGATGGCGGCGGCGGCGGCAGCGGCGCAGGGGAGCCGTCCTTCACACAACCTTCACCGGGCACCCGCGCGTCTCCTCCCCAATCCGTGACCACGGGGGCCTTGAGGACGCGACCGCGTTCAGCACCCAGTTGCCCGTTTGCACCGAAATAATCCACAGAGATGTGCGCGTAGTCCTCTCCTCCTCCTCTCGGTTATTTCGTTCCGCTTATTTCACTTCATGCATTCGTACGCACGTGTTAACTTAAGGGACAAAGCCGAACGGAGGGAAGAGAGAAAAAAAAGGACCTGCAGTAGAATTTTTGTCGCGAATCTCCGCGAAAGGCACTGCAGGGTCAACGTCGCGAATGCGCACAATTTGATTGAGCGTGCGCTCTCCAGCGATTACATCATTTACATCCGCTTCCCAAAGCGAACCAAAAACCCCAAAGCAGAAAATAAAAATCCACACGTGAATGATACATGCAATTATCTAATACAACGCTAATGGTTGCTGGAGGCTAACTAAGCCTTGTCGACTAAACAGGCCAGACAGCATCCATCCCCTGGTACACGGAGAGCGAGTGGCGTATGTTTCGCGGTCGCAACACTCGCTCGCGTACGGACGCCTGCTCGCAAGTGCGAGGGGACAAAACACACGCTCACACACACGTTCACACACACGCGCGCACGCACGCGCTCACACACACGTGCAGGCACGCGCACGCACTCACACGCTCACACACACACACCGCCTAAATATAGCGAGCTAGAGGAACATGCTCCGCATACACATGAGGCCGGCTGGCGTGCTGCAATAAAGTGTGAATGAAAACGCAAGCCCCTGTCACAGCAGACGGCACGCGCGCTCGCTGGTGCGAGTACGCTGCAGGGCATGTGCCCAAAGGTTTTGCCGCCTTCAAGGCCGCGAACTTGAAGCCGTGTCGCCGACGCGCGGCCACACGTCGACGACGCGCACGCACACAACAATGAACGCGCGCTTCTACAGAGGATGTGCATGCAGAATGATGTCTGTTGTGAAACCACGAACGCCAGCTTCGAGCTGTCAGAGCTCGAGTAGGGAGTGACTTGCAGCTCGTACAAGTAACGGGAAGGGTGCTCTTCTCTGCCGGTGGCCATGAGCCGTTGGTAGAAATTCCACATTTCCATGGCGAGGATCTTTCTCTGTACAGGACGACCAGCATGTACGTTGTGAACTTCGTTCGCACCGTACGTAGCCAAACATGCTAATCCGAGGTGCGGGGAGGAGGGGGAGAGGACAATAAACTAAACACAAGAAGCCGTTGTAAAGAAATGAGTGGCTCCAGTGGTATCCTAATATCAGAAAAAAGAGTGTTCCAGATGACTGCAGTGACCTCCATTGACGTGGCATGTAATATAGCCAAGTGGGCTTTACATGGTAAATAAATATGAATTAAAAATCGTTTAGTATGTAGCAATCTGCTTACCTTTTCTATGCTTTGCACTCCTATCGTGTGTTTGTACTGTTTGTTGTTGCGGCTTTCTGACCCGCCCCGAACGGACATCTGTGAAAGAGCTTTACAGCTCATCGGATTGCTCCAGTACGAATCAAAATTCGAAATCTCTATCATCAATACAATTCTTACACTCGCACGATGGATTTACCACATTTCAGATTTGTAGGTTTGTAGGCGATCAACCGGGCTGCACGTGAACCCTGCCAGCCACGAGGAGGTGCTACATTCGCCACGGTGTTAAATTGTACCCGCGGAGTTGGGATTATGACAATCAATCAAATTGCAATGGGGGGGGGGGGGGGGGAATAATCGTTACACGTGTATACAGGCACTCCTTAACATACGCGATTGATGCGTTCCTGGAAAAGTGCGCACCTCAAAAGTCGCGTACGGCAAAAACAATTTTCCCAGAAGAAATAATGGTAGAAATGGGGGGGGGGGTTAGGGGATTTCCCTCACACACTCGCAGACATAATTCGCCTATATTATCCGAGCGTACATCACTACAATACACGTGCACTCAATATAACACGAGAGACGCGAGACAAAAGGGAGGAGCGTCGGTGCAAACACGGCAAGATGCTGTACACAGTAGCGTGCGCTCGGCTATCGTACCGCACATGCGGCTGGCAACGCCACTGGCTCGTGCCAGCCCAGGGTGGCGTGCGTCGCGTAGCGGTCGACGTTATTCCGAAAATTGACTCACGTGCGTCAATAAAAGGCCTAGGTGCAAAGCGCGCGTTATTCCAAAATGGCGTACTGCAAAAGCGCGTAAAACGAGGATTGCCTGTATGTAGGAGAACACAGTCTCCATCATGGACGGATAAATAAGTCGAGTCTCCCCCTAACCGAGATTCAAACTCATGACTTCTAACCAAGCACGGTGGCCGCCTGGCTTGCTCAAGGGCTGAAATACGGGAGTTTGACAAGGCGGACGAATGACGCCACTCTCGGGCAATGTCCTGGACGACGGAATCGGGAGCTTCGAAGCCGAGGGACCTTAAACTGATCGCGCTCAAACCGACAGTGAATGAGAGTTTTCATTAACGCCGCACTGGCCGCGGCAAAGATTCGCAATAACGCACGATGGGTCGACTGAAGGACATTCCCTCGGTGGGGCTGGTGGGAAAACACATTTCATTTATCAAATGGAGTTTTGGAGACGTGAAATTCACAAAGGGGAAAGCAACGTTGTGAGAGCATATGGTTCCACCTGTATAAACACGTTGACCACCAGGCCTTCTAAAATATCAATATATATTCTATTATCCCTCCCCTTCACCCAGCGGCCAAAAGCACATACTAGGGCAAAGCATGCAACAAGAATGGTCATTAGTGGGTGCGAGTGTTATCCCCTCGAGACCTCAATATTCAAAGTCCATCGTTTGATGTTGCGGACATCGCTGGGTCCCGTATAGCCTCACGCGGATCTGGATTTACTCAGAAGGGGGCAAGACAGTTGAGAAAAAAGTGTGGCCTCAGTTAAAAATGTAGGCTGGGGGTAGTAGAGGGGGGGGGGGGCGACCCCCCCAAACCCTTCACATTCTCTCGTCGTCATTGGCTATGCCGAGCCGTAACCAATGCCGCAATTTGTTTTCATCTTAATCGCCGCGTGCCCTGCATTTGGTACCAATCACAGGAATTGGTTTAGATCAGCGGTCGGGAACCTATGGCTTGCGAGCCATATATGGCTCTTCCGGTGACGGCATATGGCTCCCAGACAATTTTGAGTTGAAAAAAAATAATAAAAAATAAAATAAAATCAGTTTGGAACTGATTTTAAAATACTTGTGATATTGCTTAATAAGCGTGTCATTTTAAAG